GGCCAGCATGCTCTGTGGAATTAACACACGCTGTGGTTGAGCATGCTCTGTGGATTTTAAACACGACATGGGTTGGGCATGCTCTGTGGATTTAACACGCTATGGATTGGGCATGATCTGTGGATTGAATACAGGTCTGTGCATTTAACACACGCCATGGGTTGGACATGCTCTGTGGATTTAACACACGCTGTGGTTGGTCATGCTCTGTGGATTGAACACACTATAGGTTGGGCATGCTCTGTGGATTGAACACAGGTCTGTGCATTTAACACACGCTATGGGTTGGACATGTTCTGTGGATTTAACACGCTGCATGGGTTGGGAATGGTCTGTGGATTTAACACGCTGCATGGGTTGGGAATGGTCTGTGGATTTAACACGCTGCATGGGTTGGGAATGGTCTGTGGATTTAACACGCGCTGTCGGGTGGGTATGGTCTGTAGATGGAATATTCTGTGGGTTTAGCTGCGACTCTAAAAATAGGATTTAAAACTATGTTTTATTCTACCAGGTAAGGCCTACGGAGTTAAAAAAATATTTTTCAAAAGCCACCTGGCCACAAATGATAGCTCAACTTAGTGGCGTATGTGGAAATGTATAGCACCCAAATACTAACATTTAACACACACCACGGATTGAGTATGGTCTGTGGATTTAACACACGTTGATTTTTCATGTTTTATGTTCTCTCGTAATTACTTACAGGCAAAGCAGCTGAAACGTCGAGATTAGTTTTTGCCGTTTCCAATTCGTACTGTATAAGAGCTTACTTGAAAGTATTCAGTAAAATACTCAGTCACTGCAAACGTTAATGAGCACGGTGCGAACACATCAGCACTGGGGAGGCAAAGTTGGCCGAGCATGGTGCTGGCTCCACCACCCCCTGGTGCGCCGCGAACCCCGTAATAGGTGCTTGCTAACAGCATTTCCTCAACAATGTGTTTGGGTTGTAGGGGGATTCTTGCGTGCACATTGACGATTCGGTGTCAAAACATGTATTCACTTTCCACAAACTTGGCACCTTTCCCTTGCATATCCTCACACGGTACACCATCATGGACAACACGGTCACCCATGTAAAAATAAAGTTGTGACTACATCAACATCAGCCACACCCCAGATCACACAGCACCACCCACTCCCTTTTCTAAATCACGTAACGAGAGTCCAGCAGATTGCACAGGCCACAAACCGACGATATACACAGCAATTTCATAATTACAAAATACTTAAGGATTCAGGTTGACATATATTGACGCGGATGACCACGATTTAATTTAGAATTCCCCCTAAAGGCAGCATCTTGTGTAGAGTTGCTATATGTTGAGATGAGACGTAAATATGAAATATATGAAGATTATTGCGACATCAGTTTCCCGTAACTTGTAATTGCATAACCCTCACTGTGTTGTTGAGCTTGCTGTACTTCCAGTGCCGATTATTTTTACACGCTTTTATTTAACTCACTATCTGTTGTTGTCGTATCCTCAAATCTTGTAACTCAATTTTAATCCACTTCCCAATGTGATATCGACTGCAAACTTGGTATACTTATGTCATACTGATGACAACACTATATTCTATAATTTTAAAAAATGTAACCATCTTTTTAATGTTATGTTTCGGCTTTGGTCTAATTGTCCACGCTCAACTCGCGTTGGCTGTAAATCACCACAGTCCCTTACGTTATGGCAAGCTTCAGAGCCACTTCCTGGATTCGTGGAGTTTTGCCATTACTCGTAAGCTACATTTAATTAAAGCGTGTTTTTTTAAGTATTTTTAAATATTACTTATTGTTTCCATCCATCAAAGTCAAAAGTCCTTCCTCGTGCAGTGACAGAATTATTCGGACTCAGTGGTGGTACTTTGTCAGGCTGTAGATCTTTGAAAGGAGAATTATCTGGTTAACAAGTGTCAAATGCTGCTGATAAGTTGACCAAGGCGACACCAGTGATTTGGTTGTTCTCGAAACCGTCTTCTATGCACTGGGTGAGGTTTAGCACCTGGCCAGTGCAGGACTTGCACGGCTGGAAATCACATTGTTCTGGAATGAGTTCCTCCAGTAGAGGTGATTGCTGGTTCAAGATAAGTCTCTCAAAAAGTTTGAAGAGGTCGCAGAGCAAGGACATTGGTCAGACGCTCTTAGGGTCAGATGGGTCTTTTCCTGGCTTTGGAAACGCGACAAGTCTTCCGTGTCTTGGGTATGAGCACAGGAATGTAACATTCTCAAGAGCCACTCCCTTGTTGTTAGTGCAACGTTCTTTAACTGTTTAGTGCAGATGTATTAATGCCTGCTGCCTTGCCAGTCTTTATACCCTTGATGGCTTCCAGTGCCAATAAAGACCAGTAAACTCTTTCCACTGCAGTTCATCCAGCATGAGCCTATGAGTCTTGCAATCATTACAACTTTTCAACATATAACATTCACCATGTATATGCTTTCGGTAAAATGAAAAAAACAATTAAATACATGAACTATTAAACATTATCATGAAAACCAGCACTGTTCAATTGCTCTGCCTAACATTTTGCAAAGCACCAATTTTGTGGGTAACGCTACAAATTGACAACTTTAATAACAAAGTTTATCTCACAAAATAATCAGAAAATAACATTTTAAAACCCATAATCAGTAAAGATAATCACAATGTGATGTTATTTTATAAATGGATTATACGATTCCACTATGTAACACAATTTTTGTTCCAGGGTAGTGTTAGTGTTATTTCGTATTTGCTTATGCCTATAAAGTATAACAATGGTTATTATTCCCCACAAACTTTGCTTTTGTAACCAAAGCACAAACTTTGCACATGCGTGACAAAGCTGACCCGGGGTTGCCCCGAGCAACGAACACACGTTCGTTGGGAGGTGGGGGGGGGATTTTTTCTTTCGCGTTAAAAATGCCAAAAAAATACACAACGCGGAGGTAAATTCTTCAAAGTGTCGTGTCCTCTTCTCCCCCCCCCCACCCCAATGTGTGCACTTACTACTATAGGATCGGTAGATACTAATATTATAGCGCTTAGATACTATTATTGTAGAGCAGGCGGGGGGATTGTGGGAGAGGGCGAGGATAGCGGCCCAGCCCCATCTGCCACGGTGCCACCTCGGCCGGCTGGGCGAGGCCGGGGGCTCTGCACGGGACGAGGCCTCACGACGGCACTCTGTCAAGTTAGTAGTTTGTGCCAAAGAGTTTATATGTACTGCTGTAGTGATAGCAGGTAGCACCAGTCAGTATGCACTGCTGTAGTTAAAGCAAGTACCACCAGTCAGTATGCACTGCTGTAGTGATAGCAGGTACCACCAAAGTCAGTATGCACTGCTGGAGTAATAGTAGATACTGCTATCGAGTTGATAGATACTAAAACAGTCAATATATACCACTACGTTCAGTAAATACTACTATACAGTCAGTAGATACTACTACAGTCAGTAGCTTCTGCTATAGTCAGTAGATACTACTATAGAGTCAGCAGATACTACTATAGAGTTAGTAGTTACTACTACAGAGTCGGGAGATACTACTGTATGGCTAGTAGATACGACTGTATGGCTAATAGATACTACTACGGTCAGTAGTTACTACAGTCAGTAAATACTATACAGTCAGTAGCTACTACTGTAGTCAGTAGATACTACAGTCAATAGATACCACTTACTGTTGTATGTAGGGTGTGTAGGTATATATACCTACGTGGGGGTAAAACATTTTTTTGAGTGGGGGGTCGACAATTTTCGGAAACCTTTCATATCAACTATTTACTCCCCACTTTCTTAACTTTTTGGACTTCTGCAAGCCTCTTATAATTTTGTTGGTGGACAAATGGGCAAATGGCTCACCGGGCTTTCACAATAGCTGAGTATCTGTGTATGTATATGTAATGTTTTTAAGAGAAGTTTTGAAATACAAATTTCGCCCGGGCAATGCCGGATACTTCCCCGCGAGTATGATATATTTTTTAAATAACATTGAAAATTGTAAAACATTTTGAAAAATGTTACTTTTACAATTTAAAAAAATTGTAACAAATTTTATAACATAAAATTCTGAGCAACAATTGTCCATCTTACCTTCCAGAGTATTTTGCATTGCTCGCAGGTGAAATGAGTTTCCCAGGAGTTGTCTTGATCCCCAACAGGCATGCCGAAATATGCCTTGTAGGCCTCACACATCTTAGCAGATGCTTCCACAGAGTACTTTTTGCTCGTTTTGATAAATTGGCCAAAGACATAGCAAAATGCGTCTGCCGAATGCTTGCAGCCTCTTGATACCATCTCAGAAAATGCAGATATGTATCCACAGCTGGAACTAAACTGAACTGGTGGGTTTAAGGCCCCTGTATTTATACTATTATTTATATTACTGGAAAGTTCTAGAATGTTCTAGAAGTTACTCCAAGTTTACTTAGCACTGACTATCTGGAAAGTTCTGGAAAATAGGTAAATTTCTAAATATCACTGTCCTGGTCATAAAAGCAAAGTATGTGGAGAATAATAGCCATTTTCTGTACTTTTGAGGCATAAGCAATTCGGAAATAACACTTACTACCCGGGAACAAAAAAATATGTGTTATTGCAGACCTTGAATCGTACAATGTAATATAGTGTCCCCATACCCTGGACACCCTTGCAAGCACCACATTCCAGCTCGACTTCCCTGGCTTCCATCTGCCATGGGAACAATGGGGCAGCACATACCCGGAGCCACACGAAGCATGCGAGTTGCAAACGGCCGATGCACAAGTTGCGAATCGGAGACTGTGTGAAACTGCGGCTCCGAAATTAAAACCACATAGCGCGTAAATTCGCACTTCCCCAAATATAAACGTGAGACTAGGCATTTGAATGGATAAATATGTTTACGGCAGCATCTTTAATAGTTTGTCTTGATTGACCGTAAGGAAGGCGGTTCAGATATAATATTGAAATAAGTAATATTAAAATTTGCAGCATCCCTAGAATTTTGGCCTTGCTGGTCCCGACCATCAGCCCCTCTAACCCTGGCCTGACCCACTGTCCAGGACGCCCTTGATGGCCACAGGGGCCTGGAACCACACGCAGTCGTCCTCGCGCGGCTGGCCGAGGGCCATGCCCAGCGGCTCCTCCAGACTGTTGCTAAACGTGACGACGACCCTCCTCCCGCGGGTGGGCGGCTTGTAGTTGAGCTTGGGCTTGAACCAGTCGACGCCGCAGTCCCTGTGCGCCCACAGCAGCAGTGTGGCCGAGGTGACGGGCAGAGTGCGCGGCTCGCCAAACACATCCTGCACGAAGAGCGAGTGAAACACGTGGCGGCTGTAGCGAGCGTGGCACAGCGCATCGCCGCTGCCTCCCAGCGCCAGCTCGTGGAAGTCCAGCTCGTAGAGCTCGAGCGGCGACACGGGGCTCGGCCCGAGCAGGATGAGGACCCGGGGCACGTGCGACAGGGAGAAGAGCGTCTCCAGGTGGCCGCTCAGCTCGTGTAGGGCCGTCAGCGTGCGTGCTTCTTGCCTTAACCTGGGGGGCACCTCTGCCTGCAGGGAAGAGGGGAGGGAGGCGGTCACACCAGGCCGAAAGCCACGGTCTTCAACCAGCAACAGAACTGCTGCCCTGAGATGCAATTGTGAACATTATAAATGTCACGTCCCGCATTATAACGTCGTGTCCCACGTCAATGTATTCACCTCTACCATCATCATCACCACAAACATCGCAAGTCACCTATCACACCATACTATCACCACCACTATATCCAACAACAGACACTTCCCGCACACACATTATCCATCATCACATTCACCTCCATCATCACATTTAACATCATCAGCAGCAGCAACATCGACTATCACCACATCCAACATGTAACTGCCACCTCGCCACCATGCTGTAGTTCAGCGACTGTACTCCATTGGTATAGCTTCATCTAACACGTGAAGGACACTGGGCATAATGATAAAATGTACCTTTACTTTTTATGTACAAATCCATTTCTATTGTATAAACATCGCCTAAATTATAAAATTTCATGTCGAATGTCGCCCCCTCGTGTCCTCCCCTCGCGTCCACAACCGCTCCGCTTCCACACACGACCCGGGGTCAGTCAGGTCTAAACAAATCAGTGACCTTGCGCCTGCACACTCCACCCCCTGAACACTCCACCCCCTGAACACTCCACCCCCTGAACACTCCACCCCCTGAACACTCCACCCCCTGAACACCCCGTCCATGAACACCCCGTCCATGAACACTCCGTCCATGAACACTCCACCCCCGGACACTCCACCCCGGACACTCCACCCCCGGACACTCCACCCCCGGACACTCCACCCCCGGACACTCCACCCCCCCGGACACTCCACCCCCGCACACTCCACCCCCGCACACTCCACCCCCGGACACTCCACCCCCGAACACTCCACCCCCGCACACTCCACCCCCGACACTCCACCCCCGCACACTCCACCCCCGACACTCCCCCCACCTCACAACCACTCCCCCACCTCACACCACTCCCCCCCCACCTCACACCACTCCCCCCCCACCTCCAGCACTCCCCCCACCTCACCACTCCCCCCCCACCTCACACCACTCCCCCCACCTCACACCACTCCCCCCACCTCACACCACCTCCCCCCCCCACCTCACACCACTCCCCCCCCCCCACCTCACACCACTCCCCCCCCACCACACACCACTCCCCCCCCCACCTCACACCACTCCCCCCCCCACCACACACCACTCCCCCCCCCACCTCAACACCACTCCCCCCCCCACCTCACACCACTCCCCCCCCCCACCTCACACCACTCCCCCCCCCACCACACACCACTCCCCCCCCCACCTCACACCACTACCCCCACCTCACACCACTCCCCCCCCACACCACTCCCCCCACCTCACACCACTCCCCCCCCACCACACACCACTCCCCCCCCACCTCACACCACTCCCCCCCCCACCTCACACCACTCCCCCCCCCCACCACACACCACTCCCCCCCCCCACCTCACACCACTCCCCCCCCCACCTCACACCACTCCCCCCTCCCACCTCACACCACTCCCCCCACCTCACACCACTCCCCCCCCACCTTACACCACTCCCCCCACCTCACACCACTCCCCCCCCACCAGACACCACTCCCCCCCCCCCACCTCACACCACTCCCCCCACCTCACACCACTCCCCCCCCCACCTCACACCACTCCCCCCACCTCACACCACTCCCCCCCCACCAGACACCACTCCCCCCCCACCTCACACCACTCCCCCCCCACCTCACACCACTCCCCCCCCACCACACACCACTCCCCCCCCCCACCTCACACCACTCCCCCCCCCACCTCACACCACTCCCCCCCCCACCTCACACCACTCCCCCCCCCACCACACACCACTCCCCCCCCCACCTCACACCACTCCCCCCCCCACCTCACACCACTCCCCCCACCTCGCACCACTCCCCCCCCCACCTCACACCACTCCCCCCACCTCACACCACTCCCCCCACCTCGCACCACTCCCCCCCCCACCTCACACCACTCCCCCCACCTCGCACCACTCCCCCCCCACCTCACACCACTCCCCCCCCCCCCACCTCACACCACTCCCCCCGCACCTCACACTCCCTCACCCCCCCACCTCACACTCCCTCACCCCCCCACCTCACACTCCCCTCACCCCCCCACCTCACACTGCCCTCACCCCCCCACCTCACACTCCCTCACCCCCCCCCACCTCACACTCCCTCACCCCCCCACCTCACACTCCCCTCACCCCCCCACCTCACACTGCCCTCACCCCCCCACCTCACACTCCCTCACCCCCCCCACCTCACACTCCCTCACCCCCCCACCTCACACTCCCCTCACCCCCCCCCCACCTCACACTCCCCTCACCCCCCCCCCACCTCACACTGCCCTCACCCCCCCACCTCACACTCCCTCACCCCCCCCACCTCACACTGCCCTCACCCCCCCACCTCACACTCCCTCACCCCCCCACCTCACACTGCCCTCACCCACCTCACACTCCCTCACCCCCCCACCTCACACTGCCCTCACCCCCCCCACCTCACACTCCCCTCACCCCCCCCCCACCTCACACTGCCCCTCACCCCCCCACCTCACACTCCCCTCACCCCCCCCACCTCACACTCCCCTCACCCCCCCCCCACCTCACACTGCCCTCACCCCCCCACCTCACACTCCCCTCACCCCCCCCCACCTCACACTGCCCTCACCCCCCCACCTCACACTCCCCTCACCCCCCCCACCTCACACTGCCCTCACCCCCCCTACCTCACACTCCCCCTCACCCTCCCCCACCTCACACTCCCCTCACCCCCCCCACCTCACACTCCCCTCACCCCCCCCACCTCACACTGCCCTCACCCCCCCCCCCCACCTCACACTGCCCTCACCCCCCCACCTCACACTGCCCTCACCCCCCCCCCCACCTCACACTGCCCTCACCCCCCCCCCCCCCCACCTCACACTCCCTCACCCCCCCACCTCACACTGCCCTCACCCCCCCACCTCACACTCCCCTCACCCCCCCCACCTCACACTGCCCTCACCCCCCCACCTCACACTCCCCTCACCCCCCCCACCTCACACTCCCCTCACCCCCCCTCCCACCTCACACTGCCCTCACCCCCCCACCTCACACTCCCCTCACCCCCCCCCCCACCTCACATTGCCCTCACCCCCCCACCTCACACTCCCCTCACCCCCCCCACCTCACACTGCCCTCACCCCCCCCACCTCACACTCCCCTCACCCCCCCCCCCCACCTCACACTGCCCTCACCCCCCCACCTCACACTCCCCTCACCCCCCCCACCTCACACTGCCCTCACCCCCCCCCCACCTCACACTCCCCTCACCTCCCCCCACCTCACACTGCCCTCACCCCCCCCACCTCACACTCCCCTCACCCCCCCCCCCCACCTCACACTGCCCTCACCCCCCCCCCACCTCACACTCACCTCACCCCCCCCCCACCTCACACTGCCCTCACCCCCCCACCTCACACTCCCCTCACCCCCCCCACCTCACACTCCCCTCACCCCCCCCCCACCTCACACTGCCCTCACCCCCCCACCTCACACTCCCCTCACCCCCCCCCACCTCACACTGCCCTCACCCCCCCACCTCACACTCCCCTCACCCCCCCCACCTCACACTGCCCTCACCCCCCCCCCACCTCACACTCCCCTCACCCCCCCCCCACCTCACACTGTCCTCACCCCCCCACCTCACACTCCCCTCACCCCCCCCACCTCACACTGCCCTCACCCCCCCCCACCTCACACTCTCCTCACCCCCCCCCCACCTCACACTGCCCTCACCCCCCCCACCTCACACTCCCCTCACCCCCCCCCCACCTCACACTCCCCTCACCCCCCCCACCTCACACTGCCCTCACCCCCCCACCTCACACTCCCCTCACCCCCCCCACCTCACACTGCCCTCACCCCCCCCCCACTCACACTCCCCTCACCCCCCCCCCCCACCTCACACTCCCCTCACCCCCCCCCCCCACCTCACACTGCCCTCACCCCCCCCCCCACCTCACACTCCCCTCACCCCCCCACCTCACACTCCCCTCACCCCCCCCACCTCACACTCTCCTCACCCCCCCCCCCCACCTCACACTGCCCTCACCCCCCCCCCACCTCACACTCCCCTCACCCCCCCCCACCTCACACTCCCCTCACCCCCCCCCACCTCACACTGCCCTCACCCCCCCACCTCACACTCCCCTCACCCCCCCCACCTCACACTGCCCTCACCCCCCCCCACTCACACTCCCCTCACCCCCCCCCCCCACCTCACACTCCCCTCACCCCCCCCCCCACCTCACACTGCCCTCACCCCCCCCCCACCTCACACTCCCCTCACCCCCCCCCCCCCACCTCACACTGCCCTTACCCCCCCCCACCTCACACTGCCCTCACCCCCCACCTCACACTCCCCTCACCCCCCCCACCTCACACTGCCCTCACCCCACCTCACACTGCCCTCACCCCCCCACCTCACACTCCCCTCACCCCCCCCACCTCACACTGCCCTCACCCCCCCCCCACCTCACACTGCCCTCACCCCCCCACCTCACACTCCCCCTCACCCCCCCCCACCTCACACTCCCCTCACCCCCCCCCACCTCACACTGCCCCCACCCCCCCACCTCACACTCCCCTCACCCCCCCCACCTCACACTGCCCTCACCCCCCCACCTCACACTCCCCTCACCCCCCCCACCTCACACTGCCCTCACCCCCCCCCCACCTCACACTCCCCTCACCCCCCCCACCTCACACTGCCCTCACCCCCCCACCTCACACTCCCCTCACCCCCCCCACCTCACACTGCCCTCACCCCCCCCCACCTCACACTCCCCTCACCCCCCCCCACCTCACACTGCCCTCACCCCCCCCACCTCACACTCCCCTCACCCCCCCCCCACCTCACACTGCCCTCACCCCCCCCACACCTCACACTCCCCTCACCACCCCCCCACCTCACACTCCCCTCACCCCCCCCACCTCACACTCCCCTCACCCCCCCCCCACCTCACACTGCCCTCACCCCCCCACCTCACACTCCCCTCACCCCCCCCCCCCACCTCACACTGCCCTCACCCCCCCACCTCACACTCCCCTCACCCCCCCCACCTCACACTGCCCTCACCCCCCCCACCTCACACTCCCCTCACACCCCCCCACCTCACACTCCCCTCACCCCCCCCACCTCACACTGCCCTCACCCCCCCCCCCCCCCACCTCACACTGCCCTCACCCCCCCCACCTCACACTGCCCTCACCCCCCCACCTCACACTCCCCTCACCCCCCCCCCACCTCACACTGCCCTCACCCCCCCCACCTCACACTCCCCTCACCCCCCCCCACCTCACACTGCCCTCACCCCCCCACCTCACACTCCCCTCACCCCCCCCCACCTCACACTGCCCTCACCCCCCCACCTCACACTGCCCTCACCCCCCCCCCCACCTCACCCCCCCACCTCACACTGCCCTCACCAGGCGGCTGTGGAAGTGCAGCAGCTGCGGGTAGGGAAGCGGCAGCTGTCCGCGCTGGTAGAGCGCGTGAGCGAAGATCTCCCAGACGAGGGCGCCCAGGCTCCGCTGGCTCACGGCGCCGCGCACCGTCACCTCGCAGCGCTGCGCACACATCGCCGCCGCCGCCGCCGCTCTCTTCTTCCTCCTCCTCTCTCCTTCTTTCTTCCTCCTTCTCGCTCCCCTCGCTCGCCCGCCTCCGCTGGCTCCCCAGTTCAAAACGGCGTCACGTGGTCTACGCACCGGAAAAGGGCACGACGGGAGGAAGAGGCGGGGCTTAGGTGAGGGGCTTAGGTGAGGGGAGGGGCTTAGGTGAGGGGAGGGGCTTAGGTGAGGGGAGGGGCTTGGTTGGGGGTTGGGTGAGGGGAGGGGAAGGGTTGAGGGGAGGGGTGAGGAGGGTTCAATTTCGATTTAAAGCTTTCGTGACTGCAGGGATTCAAGAATCAAGAATATGAATCGGTAAGGGGGAGTTGAGGGGAGGGGTTGGGTAGTTGAGGGGAGGGTTTGGTGCATAGCCACCACTGCCCAGAGGGTCCTGCTCAGTTTCACTCCTCACCAAACTCCTCCCTTCAACCCTCTCCCAACCCCTCAAACCCCCTTACCCCTCCCCTCAAACCCTCACCCCTCCCCTCTCCCTCCAACCCCCTCCCCTCAAACCCCCTCACCCAACCCCTGAACCTTCCCCTCAACCCCCCACCCCTCGCCCAACCCCTCAACCCCCCACCCAACTCCTCAAACCCCCCTACCCCCACCCCTCGCCCAACCCCTCAACCCCCCTACCCCTCAACCCCCCACCCAGCCCCCCCCACCCAGCCCCCCCACCCAGCCCCCCCCCCCCCGTGGCTGTGACCCAGCGCTGTGCAGGCAGCCAGGTTTGGTGGATCATCGCACGCGGACGTTGCGCAACTCCCCCCCCCCCCCCCCCCCCCCCCCCCCCCCTGGGTGTCTCGACAATGCGCCGCCTCCTGGGTCGCCAGCAAAACTGTGGATTCCACGGGCCCCATCTGCGTGGGAGGGCTTCCCCCAGGGTGCTCGTTTTCTCCCAGATGTAAACGCTCATGAATTGGCCGATAACGCCGTCACAGAAGAAAGCGGAGCTATTTGTTGGCACCGGCTCGGCCTCTCGTCTGTGGTTCCTCCTCGCGCCTTCTGTCGGCAAGAGTGAGTACTGCTCAGCGGCGCCTTACAAGTTGAGATTACGATGGTGTTCAAGGTCTCGAGTCGGTAAACAATCATGATAAGAAATATATGCGTTGTGGAAGGCGTTGACTGATGGGCTGGAGTTCGGGCTTGCCTTTACAAGAGATTAGGCTTGTGGTGAAGAGGTCAGTGTGATTGTTGTGAGGTCAGACCGAGTTTGGGGACGATTGTGGCCAGGTCATGTATTATGCAGAATTTCTTTCGCACCGTACGTAGGCAACCGTGCTAATCAGAGGTGCAGGGGGAAGGACATTTGGGGTGAAGCGTTGAAGGCGGTTTGGGTGAGAAATTTGGAAGTGTGGATTGACGTGGGTCTGGCATTTCAGGTACGAAGGACTCGTTCCAATTTGTCAACTTATTTATTTCTGAAATTCCTGGCACTTGACCTTTACTGAACAAAACAGAGGACGACACCTATTCACAGAGCGTGGTGATCGATTAAACATATATCCTGCTGCAATGAAAACACTCCCATTACGTTTAGTGGAGGCAGAGTGGTACAGGGACCACATCTGCTTACACCAAAAGCCCAAACAAGTTTCAAACACTATGGTGGCAGATTTCACACATTCGCACGCAGCCGTCACGTGACACTACGAGACCCTTGCACAGTCAGAAGTAACAGAGCGTTGCGCTATCATTAGCAACTGTCGCCAGGTAGTAAAACATGCCCCCTTGAGTACCCGATAAATGCCGTAAATGTCTGCAGTGACCGTTATATTTGCGGTCCCGTTTTGCGACGGTAAGTCTCATGTCTGCGGACCCATAAAATGACATCGCAGGCCTGACCATCTCCCTCCACTGTGATGGGCGATCCTGGGCATGGGGACGAATCCTGCGAACCATCCTATCTCACCATATACGCTGGTTCCAGATGCGTGCATTAACCGTAAATAATGAGCCGTCCGTTTCATGGAGGACATTAAAGATTTGCAACAGCCTTGCGCAATAGAAAGGGCGCAAATACCAAATATACTCAATTATTGGGATCATGACAAACTTAATCCTAAGAAACACAGGAGCATAGTCCAGGAGTGAAACGACGGACACAGAGACCAACTCGTCATATACTTTATTTTTTAAAATATTACACTTTAATGGTGTAAAATATTCAGCAATATTTCCAAACTCAAATTTTCGTATAGGTTAAACTGTGCACGTTCTTTGATTCGTGTGTCCGTGGCCCTAGGGGCCAGGTGCAGCTGCATTTCTCCGTACGTTCACAACAACAAGTGCATGGCTCCTCAACCGAGCCAACACGAAAACAACTCAAAGCTGCAGCGAGCGCCCCTTCAACAGCAGGGCTCACACGGGCCTGCTGCTGGGCGCAGCGCGGGGCCATCCTAGCGATGGCGCGGGGCACGACGGGGATTCATCCCCCACGAGGAGCGGCCGGCAGAGCCGGGGAAACGGACACGAGCACGGGAAGTGTAAGAAGAAGCGCACGCAGGGCCGCCCCCGGGCGGCCATGGAATGGCTTGGGTCGCGCTGTGTGCGGAAGGTGCAGTGTCGCGAGACAGTGGTGCACGATGGTGCACGGTGGCGGTGAATGCGGGTGGTTGTAGTGGCGCGGAGTGATTGTGGTGGCACGCATGGTCATCTTTAGGAAAAGAAGTCATCCTCCTCGCCCGAGAACATCACGTCCCCATCCACATAGTCCGTGTCGTCCTCATCCTCGTCGTCCTCGTCCGTGAAGTCGTCCTCCGTGTCCCCAAACTCAAACTGCTCGCGCCAAGTCTCGTCGTTCTCCCCCTCTTCGCCCGTCCCGTCGTCTCCACCACCCTCTTCAGTCTCCGCCTCAGTGCACCTGCAATGACGAAATCTCCACATCAACAATGCAAGCACGAGGGGGCAGTCCGCCGCCTGTGTGCGTGAGACTGGCGTGCGTCCAATTCACTCCCAGCCCTCCCCACTCCACACTCAAGTTGCTGAGCACAGGCCCAAAGGCATAAAACGTCACATGGACAGCAACAAACAGCACTACCAATGTTCTAACAAATAACAGTTGACACTTTTCTTTAATTAAGCACGGTTATTATATGAGCAAAAGAAAATAGATAATGGGAGGGAATTCCAAAGTGGAACAGTGTGAGTGCAGCAAAATAAATGTTGCTACCTGAGTTAGTGAGTGGGTGTGTGAACAGATGAGTGTGTTGTTGTCATTTGCAGTATGATGTTTGAACACAGAATGAGATGCAAGTCAGGCTGGTTGAACAAGTCCTCAACAATGGGTGGAGGAATCAACGAGTGAAGTTCGTGCACACACTCCAAGTTTTAAGTCGCAAGTGAAGCCATCACTGCGCGTCTGTGTCGCAGGAAACGTACTCTATGGTGATGTTGAGGTTTCTGTTCTCCGCGTTTGGGGCCGACTCCCCATCGCGGTCCATTGTCGCCGAGCCCTCGGCCTGCAGCCCGACTCTAAAATCCTGTGGCGTCACGCACAAAGCAGAGACATCCACGCAACCCGAACAAACACGCGTGAAGCGGCCACAGCGGTCAGGACGGGAACAACGAGGATGTGCGTGCCGTGGGGGCGCTGTGAGCGAGTGGCGGCACCTGTGTGGACGCGTGCAGAATCGCGAGCAGCCGCTCCTGGATGCGTCCGATGATGGTGCGGCCTAACGCCAGGTGCACCGGCTTGAGCAGTCGCACGCACCACGCCAACTCCGTACAATGCAGCAGCGACTTCTCTGTGCACAGCCAGCGTCGCGTCCGCACAGATCAGTGGCGGGCCCTCGCAATGGCCGTCGTCCACTAGCTCACCGCAGCGGGGGTGCGCGCGCTCGTGTGACACGCGCACCCCTACCAGGGCGGCACACGGCTTCAAGCGCTCATGGGTGGGTTTACCAAACTTGTGTCAATACCCTGCTGGACGAAGGGCCCCACTTCCTCCCCCCCCCATGCCATGCCGGTCATAGGGGTGTGACGACTATACTTCATCACGCTAGTTAGCGTGGGTGGGTGATGCTGGCAGGGGACCAGAATTGGGTTATATCTCGCCACGGATATTAGCTGTGGCTGGAAATCGAACCCAAGTCACCTAGTTCATAGTGGAGTGCACTAAACAATGTGTCATAGCTCAAAGGCAAGTTACAGCATCATTCGTGAGGGTTCCAGCGAGTGGGAGGAGTCCTATTTCTGGTTCTCCAATGCGCGACGGGCGCACGTGTGTCTGTGCGCATGCACATACCGAGTAGAACCTGCAGGCTGTTAGTGTTTAACTCCAGGTTGTGCATCTGCTGCTCTAGCGAGGTCATCTTCTCAGCCTCCTGACTGTAATAGCTATACACACAGCAGTAGGACAGCACCTGGGAACAAACACACACACATACACGCAAGTGCTCACTTTGGAAGCTTTGACCGGCACTGCGGTGAGGACAGGGAGAAACGGTGAGAGGCGGGGAGAGATGGGGGAAATGCGGAGAAAGAGATGGGGAGGGGTGGAGAGAGACGGAGAGAGGCAGGCAGAGACGGTGAGGACCGGGAAAGTCGTGGAGAGGTGGGGAGAGTCGGTGAGATAGGGAGAGATGGGAACGGGTGGAGGTAAGGCAGGTTTCGTTACCTTGCGGGCTTGCACGAGGATGTTGCAGGCGTCCGTGACCAACACGAGCGAGTGCAGCGGGAGATGTTCTTTGGCTGCTGCCACCCTGGCCGCCAGCTTCACCGCAAACTCCTGTCCCCGGGACGCACACGGTCAGTGTTAAACACTTGCAAGGAATCTCGAGTTTTCTTAGCTGCTTGTGATACAAGTCCCGTTTCCTGGGCTGGGCTGCATGTTGTTCATCTCTTCTCTCAAATTTTATCCACGCACTACTGCGGACGTCTTCAAATCAACTCCTCAAGATGACCGTGGTTAAGTAGTGTGTGGCAAAAGCTGGAGAGAAGAAATGCTCAACATACAGCCCAACCCGGAAGCCCGCACTTGCATCAACCAGAATCATGTTCAGAAATTTCCAAGATATTGCAAGAGCTTACTCAGTTGCTACACCCACGCCAGTTGCAAGCAGGGCTTAGTTTTTTCACCGAATATGTTCTGCTTCGCTGGTAGATTGTGAAGGTGACATGTGCTAAGTAACCACAGCCATAACGATGGAGGATGTGGTGTACTGGGTACAAACATATTTGACGCGTCACCGACCTGGCTGAAATCCAGCCCTGGCCATGACACGACCTTATGTGCACTTTGGTTGTTCACGCTGCGATGCAACCAGGGCGCCGCTACATTCCCTCACCATCCAACCTCACCCCAGTTCACACACTCCCTCTTACCCGCGCTTGGTGGTGGAAAATGCACATCTCGTTGTAATCGTGGAATTTTTTCTCTTGTTTGGCCGCACGGCTCACCTGCGAGAGAACAGGTACCTCAACTCTCCAGCCACCACAAGAAAAGCACCACATTATCGTTGGTTCTTGAATTGGCCAGGTCAAGTTGTCTAGATTACAGCGTTAAGAATTGACATATCGGTTTGACTGTAGTGCAATACAACTCTCATGTGCAAAATAGTGGGAAAGTGCTGCCCTCTAATGTGTGGAACAGGTCACTTGAAGAAAGGATATCAGGCAGCTCTGTGATATCCGCTTCCGTGGGCCGTTCTCTAAACAGAAACCGTTGCACTGTTCTGTGCGATTTCAAGGATGCCTGTAGCACACTTGGGAATTAATTGCGGAAAAATTACCTGAAAAAAACTCTCCAGCCAGCAACAACACAAGAATATTTACCACGCTTCTGTCGACACAGCCTGTGGGTAATCGCGCACACATGGGGCCGTGCGAAGGCAGGATCTTAGTGGACAAAATCAGTTGGCTGACAAGGATCCTTCAAGTTCATCGACTGCAGAGACTCAAATACAACCAATATAAAGACACTGATATAAGAAGTGCAAACGATTTCATTGGACAGAGTGAATGAGAGAAGAGACACAGTGGCTGGGTTTCGTTACGGGAGGGAGCTGGGACAGAATCCGGGGCTTAGCCATGCCGCACACACAAGCGGAACAAAACACGAGCAGCAAGTCCTAGCGGCGGACATAGAGACGGCGGAGATCTGGAAGAACACGGAGTGAGACTGAACGAAGCAGACTGGCTAGGGAAGGAGACAGACGGCAGAAATTAATTTAGCCCAATCGTCACCGATGGGGCCAAATTAATTAACGATGACCATGAAAATGTGTTTGTGGTAGAGCTGCCGGCGCATCTAGGAGTGCTGCACACACGATAAGCGGCTTACATCACATCTCACTTCAACACACGCGCAAAAGGCACCGCCCGCGGCAGCTGTCCCTGTGGGCACAAGGTGACTCAGCGCCCGGCCTGCAAGCGGGCATTAGTCTGCCAGTTGGGGGGGTGGGTGATGATTACTGCTACGTGCAATCCCACTCATGGAGAGGAGGTGATGAGGGCGGGCCGTGTGAGTAAGGCAGCATGTAGTCACACGCACCATGCCCGAGCAGTTGTAGTAGTCCTTGTGGGTCGGCTTCCAGGGCTTTAGGCAGCGCCAGCAGAAACCATGGTTGCACTTGGCGCAAGTCATGCTGCACACGATCACATACAAAGATCCTCCGTATAACCTCAACAGACTGCTGGGGAACATACATGAGTATGCACATATATAACAAAGAGCCTCTGTATAGCCTTAACAGACTGTAGAAGCAAGTGCTGTTAGCGAGAACCTATGAAGGCCGGAACGGCTCACAAGGGGGTGGGTGGCCAGCAATACACCCGGCCGCCTTTGTCTCCCGAGTGGTAATGTTTACACACCGCACCAGGTACTCATTTGAGGACGATTCACCCTAGGGGAGGGCCTAGGATAATCATTACTGCCGTTGGCTGCGAGTGCAAATCGAAATTGGGTCATCGGGCTCATAGTGCAGCGCTCTAACCACTGCACTACTGCTCCCCACACATACAACCGCGAAACACACACAATCATACAGAGGCTACCCTGGGGGAAGTATTTAAATAAAGTAATTAAAAAAGGGAATTAAATATGAAATGTAATTATATTTGTAATTGGCAACTAAATGACACAGCTCAAAGTAATTGGTATCGAAATAATTCGTTTTCAAGGGATAAGAGACACAGGGAAGTGGAATTCTGTACCTCTCCTACATGACTCCAGTAATTTGTCAGATTAATGTATTTTGCCCATATGTGAACAAAGTGGTGATGATGGCGGAGGTGGTAGCGGTGATGAGGATTATAGTGATGGGAGCGATAATGTTGGAAGTGGTGATGATGATGACATTAACGGTGGTGGACTTGGTGGTAGCGGTGATAACGATGGAAGCGATGACGACGGTGGCGGTGGTGGTCGCAGTGACGATGGCCACAGCGGTGGTGGTACCCACTGGAGGCAGCCCTCGTTCTTCTCGATCTGCGCCTGGCAGCTGGGGCAACGCTTGGAGATGAGCTTGGCCAGGTGCTTGCTCAGCGCCTCCGAGTTCATGCCCTCGTAGTACCCGCCGTCGTCCATCCACTGGGACATGTGCCCACAGCTGGCAGGGTAGTGCGCCTGCTCACGCGTGAATCACAAAGACAACGATTGCTGCTGAACCTGAGAAATTCCACCGGAAGGCCAAGACGGCTATCAATACCCACATGCCCAGTCGCTACCCACACACTCATGTCCGTTTCTCCACGTCCCCACACCTCCAGAAAGTTGCAGGAGAAGCAGGAGCTCCAGTGGCACTTGGCGCAGGTGCCAGCGTGGCCGATCGAGTCGGTGCACAGGATGCGGTCGCAGCCCTGAGGGTTGGTGCACCACGTGAGGTTGGTGCAGCTCTCCACGTAGCAGCGCACCAGCCCGCGATTGTACTGCGGCGGGGCAAAGCGCATGCGCTGGGTCAAACCGTGAGTACCACACTGCGCAGTGAGACTCTTGTGTCTGCAGCATTTACGCACAACCGCGTCTCCGTGGCCCTTGAGGACAAATGTCATTATTATACTTAAATGAAAAAATTAATGAAGGTAAAGGTGCAGCCCTGCAATAACCGATTCACGCCACTGCTGGCGGAAGGGTATCCACGAGAGCGAGCTCTGGAAAGCATTTAGCCAACTGTTCTCCAACTGACCAGACGTGTCGGAAGAGGTGGGAGTTCCCACACTTTATCCCACCACACACGACCTCTCGATCGACGGTAGTGAACTTATCTATGCTGCTGGGTGGATAAAGGTGCCGGGAGACAGAATCGAAATGGCGACCTCTGGATTGCGAGTCAAGTGCGTTGCCCGTTAAACCAGGGTAGTTCCCCAACAACAGTTGCAGTATTTAACATGGCCTAGGTGCACAGGCTTCAGGGACAAAGCCATCTCCAGTCAAGACCGACAGAGTGAGCACGCGACGCCTGCACCGCGCTCTGGTGGTGAAGAGATCCATGGTAGGGGAGCAGCAAACCATAAGGAATGACCTCTCCCCCACCCCCCAGGCTTTGGCAGATTTGCTCACGGCTTCACCAGGAGCATGCACAGGGCAGTCGAGAGCAATGGGTGGGGTAAGGTACTCAGGTGCCACCCTACAAACAATCTTGAAGACCGTCACTGGAAATCTTGGACTCAATCCAAAAACGGGATCGGCACGGACTCCGACACGAGCATAGCAGCGTGGTTGTCATCGTGCAAGCGGGGGAGCAGAGGCTCGCTGCTTCGTTCTGCAGCAGTCGTGACTTGAGCAGGAGGCCGATTGCAAGGTCAGAGAAACATGAAATGGAGCAGCGGCCTAGGTACGAGTAGAGAGCCCGTGCTCATTATGGTGCCCACACAAGTGCGTGCGCATGCAGGTGTGCATGCATGTGTGCGTGCATGTGTGTGTGCATGTGTGCGTGCATGTGTGTGTGCATGTGTGCGTGCATGTGTGCGTGCATGTGTGCGTGGTGCCGACCATTGCCAATGCCTCGGCATCTTGCTCCAGGATGCTGCGGATGAAATCTGGTGGCGGCTGGGCCAGGCACTCTGAGATGGGGCACTTGCAGTTCGTCACCATGTTCTGCTCCACTCTCATGGAGAGATACTCCCTCCAGCACGACTGCACAAAGACAAAGATCCATCATGCAGACCACCCAGCGTGGTGGTGCCAGTCACCTTCAACAATCACCATCCTCTACTGGCAGGCTATAGCCTGGGCTACAGGCTGGTGCCGAGTCATCCTGTACCACACAGGGACAGCTGCCACTGGGGGCATCCTTTGACTATTTGACATGAAGTGCTCTTAGTTGCCAAGGCCTGTAATCAGCACACGAAAGGGTCGTGTGGCCAGCACAATGCCTGACCACCTTTGTCTTCCCAGCACCGATTTTGATCATACACCGCACCAGGTACAGGAATCCCGCGCTATACCTAGGATATGCGTTGCTGGGAAATGCTATTTAACTCTAAATGACTTCAAACGAATGCGAATTTCACAGAGGCATAATGTTAAAATAATGGGTTGTGTTCCGAGCCGATAATTCTGAAATCAAAATTGCGTGACTTAATGTCATAGAGTGCACAAAAATACATACGATTATAAGTTAACATACATTTTCACTAATAATAAAAAAACAAATCATTCGATAGAACTTCCCAGAGACGGTTGAAGGGCTTTGCTGATTGAGGCCTCTTGGGGTGAGCAGTGGAGTTACACATTGTCGAGGCCAGTTTCAGTCCGCCAAGTGCAGGAGAATCCCTCCACATCATGGAGGGCTATTTATAGCGCCAGTGCGATAACCACTGCGCCACCGCTCCCAACCGACAAAGATCCCCCCCGTACAGCCCTCAGAATCAGAATCTTCCATTTATCCTGGAAAAATCCGAGAGCTATGAAAAGCTCTTTTTCACAAAAGTCCAGTAACAGACTGTTTGGGGCAAGTGCTGTTAGCGAGCACGATGCCCGGCCGCAGAGGATTGGTGCAGATAATCGTCACTGGTGTTGGCCGTGAGCGGCACTCAAACCTGGGTGGTCGGGTTCATAGTGCAGGGCTTTAAACAGCTGCACGACTGCTCTTGCCCAACAAACACCCTCACTCATAAACACCATATTTAACACATGCGAAACATTACCCTTACACGGAAATGTTCCCAATTCATTAGCATAGTATAAGCGAAACGCATAATGAGGCAACTGATAGTGGGAGACTCCTGTACTGATTTAAGACGGATTCGATAGAGAGGCCCAGGACCGATTCAGATATCCGCCACCGGTGTTGGCAGCGAGCGGGAATCGAACTCGCGGCGCCGAGTTCGTAGCGGCGCCGCGCTATCCACGACACTACCGCTCCACACAATACACCGACACACACACACAGCATCACATCCCATCCCCTATGCCACGCACAACACACACACACAGCATCACATCCCATCCCCTATGCCACGCACGACACACGACACACACAAGCGGCACGCATTCGGCGCTCGTCTTGTGCGCATCCGAGTGCGACGGGGCACCTTGCAGCAGGAGTGGCGGCAGCAGAGCGGCGCGATGTGGTCCACGGTGGTGAGCAGGCAGACGGGGCAGGTGTCGGCGGGCGCCGGGGCCAGCGGCGGCGGGGGGGGGGCGGGGGGCGGCGCGTTGCGCACGGCCAGGCCAGCGGCGCGCATGAGCTCGACGGGAGCCTCCGCAAAGCGCTGCAGCAGCACGTCCATGTTCCATCCGCAGTGCACCAGCAGGTGCTCGGCCACGGTCACGCTCAGGCCCAGCACCTCCTGCACCTGCGTGGCGAGCAGCAGCAGCAGGAGGAGGAGGAAGAGGCGGGGCGCCATTGCTTTAATCGTCGTTTAAAGAGATGACGAGCACATGCCCAAAGGCCCGGAAAACATTAAGCGTGCCAGCAACAAAAAGCGCGATCAAAGTTTGAACGGACAAGGGTTGATGTGTTGCTTGAGTAGAGCACGGTTATTGTCAGAGCTTGGGAAAAGAAACGATGGGATTTCCCAAGTGGAGGAGTGTGAGGTGAAGTGTGTGTGGTGGTTGAATGGTGGGGATGAGATGAAACAGCCTGCTAGGCAGAGTTGTCAGCATGGATGGATGAATCGATGAGAACAGTAACCATGGTCAAAGTAATAGAGAGGAAGCCGACCCAGTGCTGGATCAACAATCACCTGGACTGCTGCTTTACTCTGGATTTTAACATGTGAGGAACTGGGTGCTCCAGCCCAGTTGTGAAAGCAGCAGGATTCCACCTTCAGCCAAATATTTGCTTTGTACAACAACAGTAATCACTGTTCCAAGTTAAACATGATGGGCTTTTGCACGGAAAAGGAACCCGAGGATTGGCGCAACTCCTGAGACCAAGAAGAGTGGCGTGGGGGGGAGACAGGGACGGAGAGAGCCGCACCTGGGCGATGCCGCCGGTCATGAGGCGCCTCACGTCCTCCTGTGAGAGCGTGCGGCCCGCACTGAGCCACCGCGAGCTCAGTGCCACCTCCACCTGGGGCACCACCTACACCGCGACCACACAACAGACGCACGCACGGACGGACGCACGCTCCGTCACCCCCCATCGTGCAGCCCCACGCGGAACAACCTGGCGGCATCAGGCTGCTCACCGAAGTGTTTAAGGTGGCTAAGTGCGGGTGCGGCCACAGGAGCCGCAGGGTTCGCTCGCTCCAGGAGAGGGAGGGGGCAATAAAGACGAGGGAGGAGGGATGACGGGGAGGGAGGTGTAGAGGAGCGAGCCATTTCACGGTTGCGCCCCCTTGCCTGTTTGGGGACGGTGGCGTCACCAGGTGCGTGGCAGGGCGCCACGGTGCCCGCGCGGCCGTGATTGCTGATCGTGTCGAGGTGTCGCCAGCTCGAGTAGGCACGCCGTTTGTCCGGCGAGGCGGGGTCAGATGGGACGTAGTACAGCACCTGCACATTGCCAGGGACTAGTTTCAAGTAATAACTAGGGAGGCGAGAACTCAAGAGAGCATTTGCAAGAAGTGACATGGGTCACCAAAATGACAAAGGCAATCAATGAAAAACAAGTTCAATAACGAACCAAATAGAAATCGAAGCTAAAACAACTGCATTGCAGAAGAAATTGAATACAGGGCTCGAACATATATCAATGTGAAATATACTTCCTGGAAGAAAAGTCAGCTGGGAGAAATGCCTTTTAAAACCCATTCTCAGTCAAATTTAGTAACAGAAGCATCGACATTGATGATTCAGGGCGAGCATCACACTCGTGTGCGCGTGGACAGGAACACGTGGCTAATATAGGAGCGGAATCGCTGCGGGACGACCGCTGAGTGACGTAACAATCGCATGCGGTTCTACAGACACGGGGTCGCCTCACAATTACAAGGGTCAAGTCGAATTTTGATATCCAGTCAAGAACTGAATGAACATTTGTCATTCCGCCGGGTAGAAGTTCTGCCCCATTCAAACAAAGACAAAGATCCCCCATGTAGCCTTATAACATTCTGTTGAGGCAAGTGCTGTTAGCGAACACCTATGAAGGTTGGCACGGCACACGAGGGGGTTGGGTGGCCAACACCACACCACACCCGACTGCCTTTGTCTCCCCAGTGGCAATGTTTTTACACACCGCACCAGGTACTCATTTGAGTCGACCTCAGGGAGGCCCAGGATTGGTTCAGATAATCATCACTGGTGTTGGCCGCGAGCGGGAATCGAACTCGGGTTGCCGAGTTCGTAGCGCAGCACGCCAACCGCTGCACTACCGCTCCTCTCTCAAACACACGAACAGACACACACCTGCGGGCTGTCGTCTTCCCGGCAAAGGTAGCCCTTGTGCAGCAGGCGCTCGATGCACCAGCTGACCTCCACAGCACTGCAGGTGAAGCGTGCGAAGGTGCGACCGCCCAGATTGCCCTTCTGACACACCTCCACCACCTGGGCCCGCGCAAAAAAGAGCCTCCGTATAGCCACGACAGCACGCTGCTGCAAGCGCTATTAGTGATCACCTATGAAGGCCACCACCACACACAAGAGAGTGGGTGGCCAGCACCATGCCCGACCGCCTTTGTATCCGCAGTGGTGGTATTCACAGATCATACCAGATGGTTCTTACTGGAAGCCATGACCAGTTCAGATATTCGTCACGAATGTTGGTCGTGAACGGAACTTGAACTCGGGTCATCGGGTTGATAGCAAGAGCGTGCCAATCACGATACGACTCCCCCCACACAACAGCCTGACCAGACTGTTGAGGGCAAGTGCTGCTAGCGCGCACCTATGAAAGCTGGCACGGTACGCGAGCGGGTGGGTGGCCAGCACCATTCCAGGCCACATTTGTCTCCCCAGTGGTGATGTTTACACATTTCACCTGGTACTCATTAGAGGCTGAGTCGACCTAGGGGAGGCCCAGGACCGGTTCAAATAATTGTCACTGGCATAGGCTTACGAGCGGGAACTGAACTCGGGCCGCCAGGTTCGTAGTGCAACGTGCTACCGTCCTCTACCCCGCACCAGCACAGTACACACATTTAACACGCAGGAGGCTTTTGCGACCAATTTCATCCATAAGACATTTTCTTGGGGGTTAGATCGCGTAAATATATAAATGTGTCGTTAAAACCCACAATCACCCGACACAGCCAACTAGTCAGGGTTGTCACGTAAACAGAATGTGGCCAATTCGTCACTAGGACAGCACACCGGTGTGTTGGAGAGCCAAGCCACAACATTTACAATCTGAGTACGACGTTTTGCCAGTAATAACAACCAGCTTAATCAGGAGATTTATAAGTCCACCTGTTTCGTTCCTTATATAGAGGCATAGATGTGGTGACCAAACTTCTGCGCTCTTGCACAAAGTGGGCGGAGGGGTTATTCAGGAGCCAACGCACATTATGCGAGTCCTTTGATCTTGCCCTTCCTGTCCAGTGTGTATTAAAATAGCCATACCAATGGTAATCCCTTTTTGAAGAATGGTGCCCTGTATAGGCATGCATTTAAACAAAGTATTATTTGATGATTTGCTTCCACGCAGCAAAAAGTCGGTAGCTATCCGTACGGTTAAAATTATTTTGTATTGCTTTCATTTTCGATAGATTCTCTACACATACATACATACACACACACTCGCATGCGCAGCTCCGACGTCACACCAGCGTCAAACAAGACCGACGATGCAGAGCACGCACAGGCGGCTGCTACATCCGACACCTGACCAACAAAATCACACACAAGTTCTGATTCCGGATCCAATTCCGGAGCTGCGGCGCCGCCACGCAGCCCCGTCACGCGCCACGCCGGGTTACAGGCGACGCCGAAAACGCCGTGCCTTGTGGACGAGGTGGTCGATGTGCAGCTCCAATTCGGCCTTCAGAATATGCATGATGGCGCAGGAGAGCACGTTCTTCTTGCGCTCCAGAAGGCGCGTCACCAGCTCCTCGCTCGCCGGGTACGTCTGCGCTGGCAGCAGCGACACGGGCCCATCGCCGCTGGAGCTCATCGCCTCCAGGGCCGTCTCGTTAATCCGCAGCACCCCTAACGGCGCACACGTGTGGTGTGTGGGGCGAGTAGGGTTTACTGTGTGTGTGGGGCGAGTCGGGTTTAGCGTGTGTGTGGGGCGAATGGGGTTTATTGCGTACGCTGCACGAGGGTTTAGGTAGTTTGCGTAAGCGTGTAGTGCATGCTATGTGCGTGGGTGTTCGCGAGCATGTTGTCTGCGTAGATGTGCGCGTGCGTCAATAGAGTGTGCGTGGGGCGTGCTCCGCGTGCTCTCTCACCCGTGAGCGAGTCGAGGTCGGCGTCGCTCGAGGTGAGCACCCCGCTGGGCCGCAGCAGGGCAGCAAGCGCCGGGCGCAGCAGGGACGGCGCCGCGTCAGTCACGCGTGCGACCTCCTCCACGAGCACCTCCTGTGCGCCACCACGCGGCCATCACGTGCCGAGCTCAGCAGCCGCGTCGCAGTGTGGTTCACCGGTTCCCAAGGATTACTTTGTTCTTTTGTTTGATGGCAGCGAAGCACGGCCCAAATGTCAAAAATGCTCAGTGGCCAGCAACAAATAACACCATTAAGGTGAAATAGATAACAAGCGCAATGCGTTTCTTGAGTAAAGAGGGAATTCCACAGCGAAGCAGCAAGACTAGCGTTGCGACATGTGCCTCTGGTAAATAAGGGTTCGATTGACGACAACTCAACTTGTGACCGTCGTCCAGGAACCAATTAGGTCGTAGGTGCGGGGGTCACCTATCTCTGTTGAACTTCTTTCGCACTGTACATAGCCAACCGTGCTAATCTGAGGTGTGGAGGAAGGACCACAAACTAAACACAAAAAGCAGTTCTAAAAACAAGAGTTTTCAATCTAAATGATTTAAAAGTGCATAGCTCCAGTGGCTTCCTAATATCGGAAGGAAGAGCGTTCCAGACGGCCGCAGAAGCGCATCTGAGAACGCACGAAGCAGTGACCGTCAGTACGGATCATAGACCTTGTCCTCAACGTGGGTAGAGGAAACAAAGAGTGACGTTCAAGGGAACAGCAACCCTGGCAGTAGCCACAAAAGAGTGAGAAGGAAGCAACCTTTCACCGGCGAGCGAGCGAATCGGTGAGCGCTCGATCGCCGATCGCCGCGCGCGCAAGAAGAAAGCGTGGGCCCGGAGGCTCCTCACCTGCTGCCGGTTGAAGAGCAGCAGGACGAACATCTGTAGGGTGGAGAGCAGCAGCGAGAAGCGACCGTCTGGCGACGCGAGCACAGCGCGGCCCAGCCACGTCCACTGCAGCCTCTTGGGCTGCTGGTGCCAAACGCCAAACAGCCTTTGCTCTGCACGTCGCACGCAGCAGTGAAACACAACCGCACTGAAACCAACAAGAGCACGACGCGGCCTGGGAAAGAAGGAACACGCTACGTGATCAAATGATATAGGGCAAAGGTGCAGCCCTGCAATTTCTTGGTCATACTACTGCTGTCAGAAGGGTATTTTGGCCTACTCTATTAGCCTGGTCAGACATCTTGGAAGAGGTGGGAGTACCCACACTTTACCTCACTGCACGAGATCTGGTGATACACACTATGATTTGTACACATTTATTCCGGCTGGGGTGGACGAAGCTGGGGGGAGATTGAGGAAGCTTGCGTGATTGTTTCAACTGCCACGCCGCGGGATCGAGCCGTGTCCCGTGTGCGAACCATTATAACCACAACGTGGGGCCATGCAATATCACAGACACACACGGGCATGTGTACACATCCGTGTGCGTAGTTGTTTCCAAGTATGCATTCTGACTTAGTTGCGGGCATTACCGACCTGCATTAAATGGCACGGTGGTCAAACAAGCAGCACGACCAGCAGTGGACAACGCGTAACTACATAGACGTCTGCGTGTAGCTATACGTACGCGTGCCGTACACGTCCAAATGTAGCTATGCGTACCTATTCTTAGGTTTTTTCGGTAAAGTCACGTAGGTAAAACATCAAAATTAATAAAAATAAAATAAAATATTTTATTTTATTTTTATTTTTATTAATTTTAATAATTTTGATGTTTTACCTACGTGACTTTACCGAAAAAACCTAATAATATGAATCCTTGCAGTCACGAAAGCTTCAAATCTAGAATCTATGCGTACCTGTGAAGTAGAACTCCGTGTACTCCTGCACAAAGTCGAGCAATGGTGGCGGCAGCATCCCCGCTGGGGGGGCCATGTGCGCAGAAGGGGGTACGGGCCAGAAGGCCGATGAGAGCACCATGACCTGCAGCTCTGGGGCAGAAGCGGAAGGGCTCCCCCTCTCTTCCCCCTCCTCCTCCTCCTCTTCCATTCCGTCTTCCATCTCCTGCGCCCAGACAGAAGTTGGCACGGAGGCAGTGGGTGTCGGGCCGTGTGGCCAACAGCCTCCTTGGGCGCATCGCTCACACCGCCTTTCCATCTCTACCCTCGATTCCAACTGCGCCATCGGTGTCAAATCGCGAGACAAGGTCTCCATGCCGTACTCCCACAGAATGAGCCGTTCGTGTTGAGAGAGGGGTGACATCAGTTCTACACAGTCCTGGGCAGCGCTTTCCCATACGCTTGCCACTAAGAAGTCGTTTGTCACATGGCAATCGAACCATTACAGTCACATGGCTGTGATTTTGGCCAAATATCTCTTTGTGCAGTCATTATCAACCAGGCTTATAACCATAATCTCACCACACGTGAGAATCCGGTTTAATCGCGGGCTGCTGCCTGGTTTTGAACCCAGAATCTCAGCGGTGCCGGCTCAGCACCTTGACCATAGAGCCACCCGGCCTCTTTGATCACCGATGCTGCTCACGCCGAGACCCTGACACCAGCAGCGCACGCCCTCACGGCTCCACTGGTTCCCCCCTTTCGGCCCGACGACGTCGGCTGTCCCCGCCTCACCGAAAGGAGCACCCGCCTCCCCCCTCACCTCGTCGGAGAGGGAGGCAAGGCTGCGGTCGAGCTTCTCCAGGCGGTACTGCGTGTAGTGCGTGGCGGCACGCTCCGAGTCGGCCAGGTCGTGCAGCATGCGCTGGGGCAGGCGGCCCGGGAAGCAGGGCTCGAGCTGGGCGCTCACCAGCGGCTCCAGCCAGAGGGCCCACAGCACCAGCAGCCGCTCGCACAGGTAGAACCTGACGCAGCACGGGGCGAGCAACGTCAACCATGAACAGCAGCAGCAGCAGCCCAAAAACTAAACCTGTTACATGTGTAGTGCCTTCAAAAATTACTCACACTAACACGTAACAATTCACCTGCTTACACTTTATTCACCTATTCTTGCACCAGTTGTAGGGACTCCTATAACTATCTATACAGTAACTTACATTTAACTTCTCCCAACTCTCATCTCCCTTCCACCTCGCTTAACCTGCACTCGGCAGCTCTGCTCTCAGCGTCTGCGCACACAGCAACTCTACATCTCCACCCCCGCCACTGCCCTTCGCCCGGCGACGGCGTGAGTGGCAGCGGCGAGATGTCTTCACTCGTCCCCGGCAACAACAACCCCCTCTCCGAACACGCACACACCCTTGTATCTCTCCGCTCATGATCCGAGACCTCTCGTGCGTCTCTTTAGCTCCCGCCAGGCCGGCGTCAGTTGGCCTATCAATAAACCCTCATCTCCCATTTCCCTGGCAACACCTACGGTCTCAACGTGCACACCCGGTCGACCCCGTTTGCACCCGCTTCTCCCCGAAGGTGGCGCTTTATCCGTGCAACCCTCGTGTTGCAGATGCGCACCTGTTTGCCCTCAGTTGCCCTCTGTTCACCGTGCGCACTGCGTATTTCACTCCTCTATACATGCACACAGCTTACTCGCGCGCACACACTCGCAACCAGCAGCCACTGATGGCATCTGCACTACACAGTGGTGACTCCCTGCAGGAATCGTTGCTCCTCCGCCCTCTGTTGGTGCTGAAGGGCGGCTTCCAGTAGTGTCCTTCACAAATTTCCTCCACAGAGGCCAATCTTAACACCTCTGCTACCAGCCAGAGACTTCAATTGCCTCAGAGTGAGCAGCAATTAATAGGTCATCAGCTAATATGAACACAAAGATCTTTGTATAGCGCAGACAGGCAGCGAGTAAAAGTGCTGTTAGTGAGTACCTATGAAGACCATTTTACATGGCACATAAGGGCAGGTGTGGGTCAGAACCACGCCTAGTCATCTTTATTTCCCGAGTGATGTTTGGCAATGAGCGGGATTCGAACTTGGGTCGCCAGGTTTGTAGCAGTGCGTTAACCATTACACTACCGTCCCCCCCCCCACACAGACGAACACACAAAGTCAAAGCTCCTCCATAGAGGCCGATCTTGACACCACTATCATCAGCAAGTCCACTCAGCTCCACATCCTCCTGTACCGCATCAGTCTATCTCTGTTCTAGCCCATGCTGCGCCCGTGTAGCCCCTTTCTATCTTGCCAAACAGAAGCTGCCTGGGCATGCGGTGGTTGGGCATGCGGTGGTTGGGCATGCGGGCTACTTGACCCAGCCAACGCAGCCTTGCCAGCCAGAGATCACTGAAATGTGTCCAAATCTTTCAAGGATGCGAGCTCCTCACACAATCCAACCTGGTTAAACCCAGGAGGGATCGTAGGCAGGCTACCATGGATGTTTAAAACCAGCGCAGATATTCCTTCAGAGGGGTCCATGTTGCACTCGCATAGAAGGGAGGGCATAACTGTAGCCGAGAAGACGCAACGCTTCATGTGAAGCAACAGACCAGGTAGCTTTCACACAGTTGTGCACAGCTGATGGAAAGATAATGCCGCTCAACTGATTCTGGGCGAGACCTCTGCCCTTGACCGGCTCAGGTTTGGCAGCACACTACCGAGGTTCGGACTTCTCCAATCCCTCCACAACTGCCCCAACACTGATTATGGGGAGTTGAGGGGGTGGTGTGTTTGATGACACAAAATACCTAGGCAGGTGTTCATACTCTTAGTTCTTTCGGTAAAGTCACGTAGGTAAAAAATGAAATTATAATTAATAAAAATAAAACAATAAAAAATAAAAAATCACGACGTTTCGGAGGCAATACAAGTCTCCGTCATCAGGTGGGACCGTCACAGCCAGATTTGCTGCATCAAGTAGGCAGGTGCTTAGTTTTTGTGGGGCTGATGGTAAGGCTCCACACCACTTAGTGGCACACTCCAGATTAAGTAGCACAGCCTCCAAGTCCTTCTCAGAGTGAGTAGCAGTTACCAGATCATCAGTATATAAAACAGCGAGCCATCATTTAACCATATTAAGGCATCGATCAGACTCCCATTGTATCTGTACCACACGACAACATGCGCGCACACGCACTGTAGCAATGCACAGACCGGTAGAAGTGCTCGAAGGTGTTGGCCATCTCTAGGCCGGAGAGGAAGGTGATTGGCTCCAAGGAGGACATGAGCTGCGCCAGGCCGTCCCCGCTGGCCCGTGCCACCCCCAGTGCCCGGATGCGCCGGTCCACATTTTGAGCCAACACCTCAGCCACCTGTCCACCCACGAGCAATCACGGCACAGCGAGCACGGCACAGCGAGCACGGCGCAGTGAGTACGGGACGCTCCCACGGGGCAGTGACTTGAGGTTCGCAGCAACCAATTTGGGAAGCCGCGCTGGTATGTTGTATGTTTGTATAACGTTTTTCGCACCGTACGTAGCTAAACGTGCTAAATTGGAGGTGCGGGGGAAGGACAACCAAGCACAAAAAGCAGTTCTAAAGAAACAAATCACTCCACGCTGTCTGCTTCACAATGAACGTTCAAGATCCTGCGACGGAGGGCACCGTGTGCTGGGGGTCGCAGTCCAAATTTTCCAATATAGAAAAATTACACTACATCCGCTCAATTGGGATCACCCACAGCAACATTGCTCCCGATTAACAATAGAAATCATCGCCTCCGGCTGCAAAACCTTAGCTGGGTAAACAAGTCCTGAGCGCACAGCTGAAGCAGCACCCGCGGGAGGGACAGAGGGAGGGAGCACCTTGACGCCGGGCAGGTGCGGCAGGTGCAGCAGGGCCGAGCGGAAGCCCTCTCGCAGAGCGAGCATGAAGGCTGCATGGTTCCCAAACAGCTCACGCATGGCGCCACTCAGCCTCGCAAACTGCTCTTGATAGAGCTCCGCAAAATCGGCCGCGTTCCAGCTCAAGTCCAGAAACGTCGACACCTGCACCCGTGCCCACGCAGGTCCCATTAGTGTGGGGGGCGGGGGGGAGATACGTGAATCGGCCTCGCCGCGCCAGTGCCGTGCGTGCCCATGCCTGCTGCTGCACCACCCCGGCCCAGCAAGACGCCAGCTGCGAAATGGCGCTGGGTTTCCGCGGGGCCTTCTCCTCCTGTCCTCCCTCCGGTGCGCTGCAACCGTTGCGCTCCTTGCCCTTGCTCGTCTTCAGGTCTGCAGAGAGAGAGGCAAACCCGTTGCACGAGCCTGCCCAGGGTGGGCCGTGGGCCCGGCCCCCCGGCCCCGCCCGTCCCGCTGGTAAGCAGCGTAGCGGCGCACCGTTTGGAGTGCATACCGGGTTTGCAGGGTGGCCGGATGGTGCCCTCCATGGCGGCAGGGCTGGTGTCCACGTGCACCAGCAGGCGGCACAGGCGGCGCGCTCGCGATGCGAACACCAGCGACTTCCCGCGCTGGCCCCGCCGGGGGACTCCTCCGCCCGTCGCCTCCCCCACGCCGGCTCCGCGGCCCCCGCCCGCGCCCAGGTACTCCACAAGTAGCCAGGCGAACGGGCTGCTCTCATCTGCACGCGCCCCACACGCACGACACAGCGAGTCACCCTTGAAAAAGAGTTATTTACTCGGATAATAAAATTCAGATTGTGATAATGGCGCTCGTCAGCCTGTGTGCGTGTGCGCGCAGGAAAGTACACGCACCCCCTTTGTTGACGGTGGAGATGTTGCTGATGATGGGCGTCGCAAGGGCTTCCCAGCACGTCTGTCCCAGGGCCCGCGCCGCCTCCAAGTCCGGCAGAAACCGCTCGGCAAACTGCTGCTCGTGACGCAACACCGCGCTCATCCTGCAGGCCAGCATGAGCGCCACACGACAATGACATGAATAAATAGGACTAAGCTGCCGTTTCGTGCCACTGTAGCCACTCCACCTCCTTGTAAATCGAATTATTTGGTGAAAAACACAAATAACAACAAAACTCAACACATTCATCAATAGCACAGTGGCCTTATAAGGGAAACGGTCTATGATAGCCGACGCGTCGCCTATTATAGCCCATTGTGTTCTGAAGGACCATTGCCCGAAATGTTACCCGTTACAGAGGTAACGTTTCAGGCCACATAAGCAAATTAAAACTGGGCACCAGGCAATTATGTCCTCCAACATCCACCAAAACAAACTTATTTAGTAAAACGAGTCTGACATAGACTAATCTATCTTACAACAGTCGCGCGGTTTTAGAAAAATGGCCCCCTGTCGTCCTGGGCTGGGCTGAAGGTGGACGCGGCCGCCAGTGGGCCACGCCGTGTATGCTGCCCGCCGTGCGAGCGCGAGGATGGTGCCGCCACAAACGTACTTGCTGTAGAGCTGCAGCACGTGCGTGCGGTCGTGGCCCAGCGCCTGCGTCCACGTGTGGGCCTTCACCGTGTAGAAGAGGCAGGTGCGGCGGCACAGCTGCTCGCGGAACACGGGCCAGAACGTGGGCTTGGGGCCCAGGATCTCGAACCCGTGCACACGCGTGTCTATCCCTCCCTGTGCACACGGGAACGGCGTCACCAGCAGGAAGACGGAGATCGCCCGTGGAGCCGTGACCGGTGGCTCCCAACCTGTGCTCCCCCAGTCCACCGGTGACCTCCCCCACCCCATGTGAATCATGGGGGTGACTTACCCACACTTCACCACGCTGGTCAGCGCGGGTTGGTAAAGGCGGGTTGTTGAGTAACTGCAGCTACATATCATTAACATTCCTTTCCTTTGTTACTGCTAATCCCTGCACCCCCCTTGGTTGCTGCTGATCCTGCATAATGCATGGGCATAATATGACTTTGACACCCCCCCGCCCAACGCCTACGCATTTTCCATGAATATGCTAAATTCCTCTTCACATGCACATTCTTTTTGTTAAGGCGCTCTTCAACCCCCAATGCAGCTTATATATAAGCTCCTAGTTTGGTAGTGTCTCATTCTTCACCTGAAGACGGCTGCTTGCGTTGTAGCCGAAACGTCGTGAGAATTGTTTTATTATGTTTTATTTTTATTATTTTATTACTTCCCTTCTACGTGACTTTACCGAAAGAAACAAGAAGAAAAAAGGCGGGTTGTTAAGGCGGGAGCATAGTTGTGGGAACCCAGTCTCGCACAGCAGTGTAGCCTCAAAGCCTATAACATCCCGCACCATGCCACGCAAGGCCTCTGCGGCGTGTGGTACCTGCTGGCAGCGCCGTATGCGGATCTGCACAATGGGCCAGTAGCGCGTGGCGTTCTCCAGCAGCAGCACCCGGCTGGCCGACGACGGTACGTTCACCTGCCGCACGAACGCACAGCGGACGGGAGACGGCCGTGCGTGAGTGGCGGCGGCGCGCAGGCACGTCACGCGGGCACGCCGTCGGGCACCCCTGCGGGCACGCCGTCCTCCCCCCGTATGTGTCGCACGTCACCCTCACCGCATTGAGCTCGGTGCTCACGTCCGTGGGGTCCTCGCCCCCCAACACCACGAGCCGTGCCGGCATGTAGCTCGAGTCCTCGATCGCCACCAGCACGCTCAGCTGCCTGCGCGCCACGGTAAGGGGGTCCCCGCGTGTCACTCCGAGGCACGCGCCACACGCGCCGCACGCGCCGCACGCGCCGCACGCGCGAACCGCTGGGTGGGTGGGTGCCGGGTGCGTGGCGCTCGCTGGCGCTCGCTGCCCCACGTACCGGATCACGACGCCCTTGTGCATGAAGATGTTGATGTAGTGCGAACCCGTGCTGCCGTTGGACTCCCAGTAGGTCTTGGCGTTACCGTCTGTCAGACGGGCGGCCCGCGCTTGGTTGGAGGACACCTCCACCTTCTCCCAGCACTTGTCCTCCTTCATCTCCACCTTAGAGCCTGCACGCCGCACAGCATGGGTGCTCAATGGGCGCTGGGCCGTCACACGGCGTTCATCGGTGCAGCGAGCGTAGGGTGGGGTGGAACGCTCACGAGTGGGGAAGAGCGACCGGAAGTGGGATGGGGGGGGGCGATCTGGAGTGGGGGGAAAGCGACTGGGAGTGTGGAGTGGAGCAATCGGGAGGGAGCGTTTCAGGTTACCTTGGCACAGGTTGCGGAGGAAGACGTTGAAGAAGGGGATGTGGATTGGCGCGTGGGTGCGCCGCGATTCCTCAATCTGGCCCAGCACCATCTGAGGAGTGGGAAATGAACTGGGTATGAGCGCAGTCCACCACATGACCAAGCACAGCTGCTCATAGGAACACGGCAGAGTGTCCCAGCGGGACAAGGTGGATGAGGAACCGTTCACATGCTGTGCGGGATGCGCTGCGGGCCACTTCTGCAGACAACTGCTTTCTTATTAACCTTTCACCATTCCGATGACATATGCGTACGGCATCAATTTTTCTTCTGTACGTCATTCGGAACGGGGCCTTTCCAATGACGTACGGTATCAGAAAGAAAAACAAAAAAAAAATAACTTCATCGGTACCGAGGCTCCCACAAGGCCATGCGGAGGGCGAGGCATCGTTCGGCACCAGTTATCCTAGTGTGTGGTTATGTCGCTACAGTTCTCTGCGGTGAATACTATGTCTTTAAAAACAGTGGTGCTACGCCCCCTCTAAATAATGAGCGCTAACTGCTTGCGTGTCCAGAGATTCAGCGGTGAACGAGACATCCACCCTGCAACTTTCGGTCAAACAGCGAGCACCGAACAGCACTCCCAAAATTTGAATTGGACAAGAGTTAACAATTAAATTTAATGCAGCAAGGTTATGATTATTATTACAAGAGATTTGGCAAAGTGATTTCCAAAGAGGAGAAGTGTGGGGGAAGAAGTAGAAAGAGAAGTGGTTTGAGTGAGTGGGTGAGTGAGTAATTAGGGAAGTGTATAATTAGGAGCGTGGGTGAGAGACGAGTGGGTCAGTGTGTCGTTGTGACCAGCAGTGGAGGTTGAACGTGGTGTGGATGTGACGAAACAGCCAGTGTCCAGTAGACCTCAACATGGCACTCAATAAGCGACGTTCACAGGAACAGCGACCACAGCAGTGGCGATAGAAGAGCGACTAGGAGACGACCAGGCTGTAGGCGAGTGCCGCACGTGGGTGTAGGCACGTGACCTGTATGCAGCCGGCCAGGATGCTGGTGGTGAGGCGGCGGTAGAGGCCGGCGTGCTTCTCACAGTCGGCGACGAGGTCGCGCAGCTCGCCCGCCAGCCGCAGGCTCAGTCCGTGCCGTTCGAGCGAGCGGCCGATGGCCTCGCGCAGCCCCAGCTGGCACATGACAATCGCATTGTCCTTGTTGTCCACCGCCAGGCGGTGGAGCAGAGTGATGAACTCCTGCTGGACCTGCACCCGCCACGCGCGATCACCGACGCAAAGATATAGACTTCTCATGCGCATGTAAGCACGTGTGTGTGCACGTGTGTGAGAACGTGTGTGCGCACGTGTGTGAGAACGTGTGTGCGCACGAACGTGAGCGTGTGCGCGTACCTCCTTGTCGCCGATGTGCGTGTTCATGGGAGCGAGGCTCGTCTCCACAAACTCGTGCCACGGAAGAGAGTCGCGCTCCACGAGACGGCTCAGGATCCTAGCGGACCACACCGCACAGCACAGTGACCCCCCCCCCCATAACACCGCACACCACCACACCACATAGCACTACACCACATCACACCACATAGCACCACACCACATAGCACTACACCACATCACACCACATAGCACTATACCACATCACCTCACACCACATCACACCACATAGCACTACGCCACATAGCACTACACCACACCACATAGCACTACACCACATCACACCACATAGCACTACACCACATCACCTCACACCACATCACACCACATAGCACTACACCACATCACACCACATAGCACTACACCACATCACCCCACAAAGCACATTTTTTATAGTCCACCAGAGGTGGCAATACTTACAAGGTCAATGAGAGTGAATTATTTATTTGATAACCCCACTGGTTTCTCATATCTGTCCCACAATTCACTGGTACAGGCCACAAGGACATTGGAAGCGCTAACGCTTTGCCTCTGGCAATTGTCACTAAAACAAAGATGCCCCCTTTTCGCATTCTGGGTCCACTTGGCCACAAACCACCGAGAGAGCTTTGCAGCTGTTAAGGGTGGCACGGCGCACGCCAAAACGGTGGGGACAGAAATAGACATGGCCAGAATGAGCCACGAACTCTGGAAGGTCCAAAAGTCAGATACCAACTTCAAAAGTTGTACATAAAATGTCAAGTTCATTTTGGTTTGACAGGTGATAACTCAAGAGACTATGGGAGAGGCTCATTTACACAGAGTACTAATTTCAGGCTTAGTCGACCTAGGGGAGGCCCAAGACTAGTTCATATAATCGTCACCGGTGTTCGCCGTGAGCAGGAATTGAACTGGGACCGCCAGGTTGGTAGCGCAGCGCGCAGCACTACACTACCACTCCTAGCACAACACCCCCACACACACACGCAGTCACCCTCCTTCCCACACCCACCGCAGCACGGCGAGCTGCAACTCCTTGTCGGAGCGCAGGGCGTCCATCTGTGCGAGGATGTTGCGGAATGCGTCAGGCTCGCCCAGGGCAGCCATGACGGCTGCGAGCTGCATGTCGTTGGGTGACCTCGGGGTCTCGCCCGACAGCCAGCCGTCCAGCACCAGCAGGCTGTTGCGGCACAACTCGCTGCTCCGCAGCTGCATTGGCAGCTGCAACCGATGCAGCTTGGTCACCAACTCCGACGCCACGTCTGCACGAGCCACATGACCGAACACACACAAAGATCCCTCATATAGCCTTAAACTGTAGGAGCAAGTGCTGTCAGCAGGCACCCATGAAGGCCGAAATGGCACACGAGGTGGGTGTCTAATACCACGCCCGGCCACCTTTGTCTCCCTAGTGGGCATGTTAACAAACCCGCCAGGTACTCATTTGAGGCCGAGTCAATATAGGGGAGGCCCAGGACCGGTTTAAATAATCATCAATGGTGTTGTCTGTGAGCGGGGGGTGATCTAACTTGGGTCACCGGGTTCGTAGCGCAGTGCGCTAACCAGTGGCGTAGCTAGGATATTTTGCGCCCGGGGACGAACTATAAAATTGGCGCTCCCCCCCCCCCCCCCCCCGTTTAATCACATACCAAAATGTAATTACATGACATGTAGGCTGTGTGTGGCGGGATATATAAACTTTTAGGTTGAGGTGTCGATTTGTGCAGTAGTTTCAGGCTGCCGCGCCCGCCGCAATAAGTTATAACGTAACGTTGTAAGCCTCATTTTGGCGCCCGGGGACATATGTACCCCCCTGCCCCCCCTAGCTACGCCTCTGGTGCTAACCACTACGCTACCGCTCACCATGGCACACAAAGACAAACACGCATGCATACACACACGCATGCACACACGCATGCACACACATGTACGTGTACACACATCCATACAAAAGCGGGATTCTATATATTTTTTTACAGTTTGACATGCAGGCTTTGGTGAAATCGCCTGATGATGCTGAATGTAATTGCCAGCGAAACGTCGTACTCAAATTTGTCATTGTTGTGGATTTACTCTCCAACACACCGGTGGGCTGCAGTATTAATTAAATGGCACATTTTGTTTACGTGACAAACCTTAATAATTGGCCGTCTCGGGTGGTTGCGGGTTAACGACACATTTATACTTATGCGATCTAACCAAAAAACTATCTTTTTTTACACAGTTGCTGAGCAATGGCCCGAAAATGTCAAGAGGACGGCAATAAACAGCACCATCAAAGTTGTAATTGGCAAGATTTAATGCGGTTCCCGAATCGAGCAGGATTGCTTCTCGAAGAGCTTGGGAAGAGACGCTGGGAGGGCACTTCTCTGCGTGCCGTGAGTTTGTGTGTTCTCCCCAGTTTGTGCGTGGGTTTCCTCCGGCTTCTCCAGTTTGAACGGTGGGTGTGGTCGCTCACCCCCTCCGACGGCCATGTACAGGCCCAGCATCTCCAGGAAGCGGCCCCACTGGTCGATGGACAACACCTTCTTTTTGCAGCTGACGAGCAGTCGCGACATGCCGCAGTGCCCCAGGTGTTTCGCGACGCCCTGGTGAACCTCGCTGAGGCCCAACACAAGCTGCAGCGCCTCGCTCGCCGCGCTGTTATTCCTGCGCGCGCACCAAAAGAAAATCATCGTACTGCTACTCGCAGGGGGTCCACACTCACACGTTGGGTCACTCACTCATGCAAGCACGCACGCGAGGCATCTCACTCACACCTAACTCACTCACCCACATAGGATCTCTCACTTGCCCTGTGTCACTCACTCACCTACACAGTGCCCACTCACTCACCTACACAGGGTCACTCACTGACCCACTCATTCTCTCACACGGTGCCACCCACTCGCATCCCTTACTGACCCTGGTGAGGACATGATCTTCTCCAGGCCCTCCACGATGGCGGCAAAGGGGCTGTCCATGGGGTCGGACGTGGCCAGGCTGAACAGGGCCTCGCGTGCGGCCGTCCAGTCCGACTCACTTCCCCTCCGGCTCCCCGCCGACCCGTTAGCCACTGCCTTGACGACCCCGCGACCCCCAATATTGTCCTGGGTCAAGGGTTCGGGCAGCTCCACACCAAGCACGAGATGCAGGCACTGGAGGGGGGAGTGACACGGGAGGAGACAGCATCTCATCAGCCACGGGCGTGGCATCAACAAGCCAACAACCCAGCAAATGGCACCATACACCCCCCAGCACTTTCACGTGGACCAAGAGTTGAAGTTGGCTGTGAGGATTGTTCAGCAGTCTCAGAATCGGAAGTTTGTTTCCCGAGTAAAGCCCATTGAGCTAAGACGCTTTTTCAAGGGTAACTCGTCGTCAGACATCAAAACTCACCGGCCGGCAAGCGAGCGCATCGCTAAACGCTTGTACACTAGACAATTATATTTGTTTGGCTGTGTCGCGTGGGGGAGTTTTATGAGAGATCATTACGTAAGAGAATAAGTAACACATTGGGCAGATAATGTGCCTCCTTCCCACCTCTGTACCTCCACGTACAAAATTGGTGTACGTTATAACACAACGTACCAGCTCTGCTAAAGAGACACTGAACATTGAGAAACTGGTGCAAAGTTTGAATCAGTTAGACCAATGCTGCTGCCGTGTGGTTGATGGGACTGATGTGGGGAGAATTCTCTTCACTTCTTCCGTCAATTATCGAGGTTAATGGGAGCAGGGGTAACACAGAAAAAGCAAGATGATGGCTATTACAAAACATATGTTAACTAGGCTCTAACGATGTGCTTATTTGCGTACATATAATGGGGGTGATGATGTGGAGCGTGTCGTCTGTTTTCATTGTTTCCGACACGTTGCGGTCACATGGGCATAAATTCACCGACTCTCGATGAGTGGGGAGCAGCTCATAAGCAAACCAGCTCCCGAGTAAAAATACTTTATGACTTTCACAAGTACAGATGTTCGGCAACCCGCATAATGTTTTCAAGTGTAATCGAGTGGTTTTCAGAGTTCTATATAATTCCAGAGAGTCACAAAATGTGGTCCCAGCTTTGGTTACATAGAGGCCAATAGAATTGCTTCTGCCAATTTGTGAGAGAAGCACGCACAGAGGATAACATCCCGAGTGTTAAATATAAACGTTGACGGATTACTCAACGGCTCTCGCACGCCTACTCACGGTGAATGCGAGGTGCAGGATGGCCAGCGTGTCGGCGTGCGTGCTCATGCATGCCAGCAGCGCCGCCACTCCTCCCTCCTCCACAAACGCTGGGCAGCACTCCGGCCGCACCAGCACGGCGCGCACCACACGCAGGGCCCAGTAAACGGGGCCCACGTCCTCGACCGTCAACTCCAATTCCCGCACCACCGCCTGCATTAGCGGCTTGAGGCCCTCGGTCCCCGGCGGCGTGCGAGGGCGTTGCCGGCCCTCTTTGTTCGACCGCTGCTCTTCACCGTCGCTGCCGGCCTTGTCTTCAGCGCCGGCAGCAGGAGCCTGCGTGCGCTCCTCCAGCACGGTGACCGCCGTCTGCAGGGCGGCCACCTTGAGCGCACGGTCGCTGGGCGCCCGGCTCGCCAGCTTCCAGACCGTGAGCGCGCATAGCACGCGTGCCGCCCATGTCAAGCCGCCTTCGCCCGACGGCACCTTGCGGAACGCTTCAAACTCACGAAGCCTCTCCTGCACCCCCTCCGGATCGGCAACCGCATCGACAGCTCCCGCACCCCTCGCGTCGATCTTGACGAGGGCCGGGGAGCCCGGCGAAGACGAGGAGGCGTTATTGGCCTCCTCTTCCTTCTTGGGTTTCTTAGACAAGGACGACGATGACAGCGAAGATGACGACGACGGCTGCTGAAGGGAGGATGCGGGCTCGCTCTTGCATGCATCACTTTGGCCGAAGATGGTTGTGGTTTGCCGAGAAGTCGCCACATGTTGCAGATCGTCGAGCTCGGAAGAAAACCTGCGGTAGAGGCTGGAGCTCCGTAGGTCCTGGCGGAAGGGCGGCTCGGCCTGCAGTAGATGGCGCAGCAGGCGCAGCGCCAGCTCGGGGTCAACCGAGAGACCTGCCAGCGAGGCGTCATCCATACTGAACACCTGCAGGTGGCAGAGTGTGCACATGAAGATCAGGAGGAATGCTGGCATTTTCACATCACCACCCTCACCAAAGTGGCCACGATAATGACCCAGGGTAGCCTAAACGAGTCTTAAGGATTCTCAGCATCATTACTACATTTTCGGAGTAGAGGGAGACGATTGCTATGCGTTTGCCAATCAAGTATTTTGTGAGTAATTTTACTCTTCTTTGAATGATGTCGCCAGATCTTTAATGTGCAATGGGAGCAATTATTATTACACAACCGCCGTGCAAACCATGGCGGCCTGCCTAATTCAAATCGCGAACCTTTGCAAAAAGTGGCAAATGTGCAGGCGATGTCACCGCCCCGCTTCACAGCCTAGGCACATTATGGCAGATGGCACAGAGTAACCACGATGCAGTGTGGAGGGGGGGGGGCACGGGGGTCACTGACGGGAAGCCCTGTGGCGTCCCGGATGATGTCGCAGGCCTTGTCCTGCTGCCCGCCCTCGAGTTTGCGCAGGAAGAAGTGCAGCTCCCACCAGTGCGTGCGGCCCAACGAGGACCCTTCCTCGGGCCCGTCCCAGCGCTCCGGCCCACCCGAGGCCTCCCACAGGTACGGAAACGCGTACAACCCCGCGAGCGGGCGGCCCGGCATCTTTGCGGGCTCTGTGGAAGAGGGACACGCCAGAACCACCCGCATCTCCGTCACACACTGCACACTGGAGCAACTAAGATTTGTCATCAATATTGATAAGCACCGACGACTCAATGTAAACGTGCCCAGAGCTCTGACCTCTCAGCCACTGCCCACTACTGGAGTAACAGTTTTGATATAGCACTGTGATTAATGCTATTATTAATTTTTCTGCTTGTTTACTCAGGAAACTTCACCGAGACACACGTCTTTATCAAGAAGGGCCCTGTCCAGTTTTCGCAGTCAGCGTAGCTATAAGTAACATGCATATCTTTTCAGCATTCAGATGTTTTGGCCAATATCAGTTACACTGTATGTGTTTTCTTAGCTGCACAGGGGAACCCGGAGAACTCATAGCAAACCCATGCTAAACAGACGGGGAAACACACAAACTGCACACAGAAAAGGACCCCAAGTTGGAAGGTCCTTCTTGTTGCGAGGCACGAGTGTTACCAATGCATCGCCCCCTGCTGCCCAAATTGCTGTGAATTACCTTAATTTGAATGTGCATGTCTCACCCGAGTTGGGTGTGGCAAGTGGGGGGGGGCTTGGGAAGAGGTTCTGGGTTGGGGTGGGGATGGCCGCGGTCCGTGGGGCCGCCGCCGCTGCCACCTGGACGGTGGGGGTGGTGCCACACTCTGTGGGGCTCTCGTCCGGCATGATAGCCACCATGTTCCAGTTCACCCAGTACGTGGCCTGCATCGAGTCCCAGTACACCTGTGTGCCAGGTGCAGGGGTGTGTGCGGACGGGGCGGTGGGATAGTGAGCAACATCTGCCAACACACGGGGATGAAACGCAACTTTTAAAGCATTGAGCATAGAACACAACATGGATTTGTACGGCATATAAATGTGGCCGAATTTTGTTTTGTGTTGAGTTTGTTGTCCTTCCCCCGCACCACCGATTAGCACGGTTGGCTATGTACTTTACTAGCCGTGTCGGGTGGTAGAGGATTACGATAAATGTATACTTACGCGATCTAACCCAAAAACTTTTATTATGAATAATATTGGTTGCGAAAGCCTACGTGTTAAACAATAAGCTGTTAATAAACATTGCGCATTTTATACAATCGTAAGAGGCAGGTGGTTAATGGCGGATGAAAAAAGGAGGGTCTTGAGCCTTCAGCTGCACAGATGGATGGAGGAGGGGAGTTCCAGACCATGGGGGCAGCAAAGGAGAACAAATACCAACGGTACAGCTAGCATTTAGAGTACGGCTACTTTGAGCAATTATCCGATAGCGTTAGTAGCTACAACAGCCAAGCACTGGCCATTTAGCCTGCGCCGATGGTCGGCCGATGGCGCCGCTCACCTGCACGGGCGGGTAGCCCTTGTTGACGCAGCGCACCTCTCCCTTGTCGCCGGCCGATACCTTCTCGTAGTCCTCCAGCATGAGCACGCGCATCCCCACGCGGAGCTGCGCCTGCACAGACTCGCCGTAATCTGCGCGTCTCGGAAAGTCGTCCGGCTGTCGCAGCGCCAGCTTTGCCTGCTTGGCGGCGCTGCCGTTAGCGGTGGCGGTGGCGCTGCTGCCGCCGGCCGAGCCGGAGCCACCGACACGGGGGACCGGAGCGAAGGAGCTGAGGGCTCCGACAGACGCGCCACTGGAATCCGGAGGAGTGGTGGCCGGAGCGGAAACATTGCTGTCCGCCGAGGCCTGGAATATAGAATGCCGGCTTGGAGTCTGTAGGAGGGGAGATGGAACAAGTGCGTCAATGTCATCAAGAGCCACCGGGCATGCAAAACCGATACGAGCAGCACAGCCGAGTGGAGAAAAGGAAAAGTTACCGCAGGGGTGGCGATGGTGCCGTGCTGCTGGTTCTCAGGTTCTTGGCGGTCCCAGCCCAAAATGCGTGCCAGCTCCGTTATGAGATTGGCCATCGCCATACAGAAGTCAAACTCGCGCTGCAGTCGGCTGGACTCACTCGGGCCCCTTCCAGACCCCACCCCAGCTCCATCCGTGTTGCTCAGAGCGTCGGCCAGCGACGTCACGCACAGGTAGCGCTTCACCAGCGAGAACAGCAATCGCCCTGGAATCTGCGCGCGTGTGCACCAACAAATGCACGGTCGCACACGGTGCCATCTCCTGGAGTCGCGTCGCACGACACAACGGGCCCGGGGTGGCGTGCACAAAACACGCATACTCGCGGCAATCTGCTCATTTCACCTGAGGAAGGTGGATGCCTTCGAAGCTCATGCCGTGCTCCTCGGAAGAGGTTGTCTCGGCAAACAGCTCCAGCAGCGTGAAGCGGTTGTCGAAGTCCATGCGCTGCTCGATGCCATCCTGTTGGCTCAGCGAGAGCAGCACGTACGCCCGGCTGCCTGCGCCAGCAAAACCCAACAGACCCATCAACCGCGTGGTGTTTTATTTTTAGGTTTATTTTGACGCAGGTCGGATTTCCTTTCTCCAGGAAATTCTATTCCGTGACCCTCTTGTACCGGCCAGGTGGCTCGGCGGTAGAACGAGTGGCTCTCCATCAGAAAGCTGCGAGTTCCAATCCTGGTTGGGGGGGGGTTGACTCAGCCTATCATCTCTCCAGGGCTGATAACACGAGTACCACATTCATCTTCTTGGTTCTTTCGAGTACCACATTGTAAAGAAGTCAACAGTGGTTGTCCTTTCGATTTAAAGCTTTCGTGACTGCAGGGATTCATCTTCTTGGTTCTTTCGGTAAAGTCACGTAGAAGGGAAGTAATAAAATAATAAAAATAAAACATAATAAAACAATTCTCACGACGTTTCGGCCACAACGCAAGCAGCCGTCCTCACCTGAGGACGGCTGCTTGCGTTGTGGCCGAAACACCTGAGGACGGCTGCTTGCGTTGTGGCCGAAACGTCGTGAGAATTGTTTTATTATGTTTTATTTTTATTATTTTATTACTTCCCTTCTACGTGACTTTACCGAAAGAACCAAGAAGAAGTGGTTGTCCTCTGGACAGATTCGCCCTCAACAAAGGAACGTGCATATTCTACCACTGGCTCAGGGCTGTAAACGGATGATGATCACCAATGCCTCAATCCTCATTTGAGCAGGAAACCACTTCATCTATTTTCCTATACATATCTTTCCATTACATCCTACCATGTCACCCTCAGCCTTCCTCTATTCATGCCCTGCACCGTTGGCATCTCCATACCCCCTTTAATAGTTGGATTTTCTTATCAGCTTGGCAAGGGCAAAATCCGCCGGGGCCACACGAAACGTACAAACCACGCAAGGGCTCGTGTGCGGCCTGTGCAGGCGGCCGAGCGTACCTGCGTCATGCGAGGCGAGAGCGCGCAACATTCTGCCGGCGCTGCGACGAGTCTGCATTTCTTTGTTGCACAGCAGCTCCATGAGCAAGTCCAGGGCGCCGGCCTCCTTGAAGACGGGCGCCAGCGGCCCGATGCTGGCGTAGGCGCTCAGCACGTGGATGATGTGCGAGATGTTGCGCGTGGCTTCGGGGCCCAAGGTCCTCTCCACCTGCCGCCGTGCACGGCTGACCAGCTGGATGACGTCGCTGCGCATCGAAGAGAACTCCCGCTCCTCCAGGTCACTGTCGGCATCAACGCTCTGCAGATGGAGACACCACAATCATCATCACTGCCGCTGTAACAGCTCCAGCACACCTCTACCACCCTCTATGGAGCACGCCAACATCCCCTCTGGAGGCGCACAACCACGATTGATAATAATCCTAACAATAAATATCGTATTTCGATGGCACTGCTTAAATACTTCAGCAACTCAGTGGCAGCTGTCCCCGTGTAGCACAAGGTGAGTCAGCACAGGCATTTAGTAGAGCCCGATTATTACCAGTAGGGGGCGATGGTTGGTATGGGTTATGCCCATCAAGTAATTTGCAATATATTTTTGAGATTTTTGAAAATGTTGGCCTTAAGTACATGGAGCACTGTGTATACATCAAGACTGGAGAGACAAAGGCGGCCGATTATGGTGCTGGCAACCCACCCCCTCATGTGCCGTGCCAGCTTTTATAGGTTCTCGCTAACGGCGCTTGACCCAACGGTCTGTTAAGGCTATATGGAGGATCTTTGTCCCAGGTATCTTCAGCCGAGTCGGGTGCAGTCGACCCAGTAGGAAAAACAGGCGAGGTGCAGGGTCTGCCTTGACGGTAGGCCTCGCTGTGCCGACACTAAGAAAACGATGACCGCTGCTCAATGAGCGGTGCTGCTGGTGTCAGCTGAGTGGGATGTTGGGGACATGGAAACCAACCTCTACCAATGCCACTTGGCTCAAGTGTGAACGAGCAAACGCGAGTGAATGAGCGAATGGTGGTGTGTGCAAATATCAGCAATGGGGAGAAAAAGGTGACCGGGCGTGGTGTTGGCCATCTACCCCATCATGTGCCATGCCGGCTAAGAACAATTTCTCAAAGGCTATACGGGGGATCTTTGCTTTTGTTGGTGGTTTGAGTGTTGGTTCCGTTTTTTGGTATTGTGAGTTTTGGTGGTGTGAGTGGAGTGGTGTTGGTGGTGTTTCAAGTTTATTTCGTTTAACCAGGTGAAAAACTCAATAGAGCAGCAGAATTATTTGCAAGAGTGACCTGAGGTATTAGTCTGCCAATATGGGGCGACGATTTCTGCTTTGTGGAAATGCCGACACAACATGGCCTACTCTTCTTCACTGGATCTTTAATGTCCAGACGCCCGTTGTAATTACGGTTAATAAACACGCACTATTAAGCAGGGCGGCATGTTGAGTGGAACCGGCGAACCTCTCCAACAAGCAGCGAACGCGCTACCGCTTGGCCACGTCGCCAAGATGTCCAAACCTGCGGCTCTACCAAGAGACATCACCTCACCCACTCGACGAATCCGTGCACTAAGTGCTGGAAGGCAGCAGTGCAAGCCCATCGTGCCAGGCTCAGAATATTTTTTATTAGAGTGCAATGGTTTTCCGGCCAGCCAGTCATGTCAGACAGGGATTTCGGAAACCCCTTCCCCGATTTCCCTTGCACGACATTCAGTTGGTGGAGTACAGAGATACATTTCAGCAAAGTCTGCTTGGGTTGGCGACCCGGAAAATATCTCTACACGTGACGCACCGCATCCAGCGATGGCTGTGGCTATGACTAGTCGCCTGTCACCTACGCCAGTCTAACAATACCCGGAAACATCAAGCGAGAAGTGACGCCCTGGGTGGCGAGGAGTGCGGCGATCCTACCGAGCTCTGCTGGAGGAGATGGGTGCCACCACGTTCACTTCCTTCGGGTTTGTGCTTGCGCAAGAGAGCACCACAACACGCGCGCACGTCCTCCTCGCTCATCCACATGAGAATGTTCTCGGCCTTGCCGGCGGCGTCGCCGGTCGAGCTCCAGGCAGTGGCGGCGACCACCCCTGCCGCGGGTGACCCCCCAGCGCCGCCGCCGCCCGCCTCGTCCGCAGTGGAGACCGTCCAGCGGATGAGGTAGTCGGGGCCGCCTTCCAGTGTGCGGCGCTGGCGCAGGAGCTCGGCAGGCCATGCCTGCACCCCGCGGGCCAACTGCACCACCAGCTTGCCTTGACTTCTCTCCGCCATCTCTGCATCCACCGGACCCGGCCACGCAGCAGTGGTCACGGCACACACACATTCATATTCCTGTGGCAGGCATTGGCCTCACCCAACACAACCTGGTCCAGCAGCGTGCTCAGAGCTTACACCCAGCACAATATATTAGTACACAGTAGTACATAGGCCTCGGCAAGGTAAGGTAAAAGTTAAAAAAGCCTACCTTTACCCTACCTTTTACCTTACCACAATACAATCACCCTACCTTTTACCCTTTAGCAGGTAAGGTAAAAGGTAAAAAGCAACGAGCCTACCTTTACCCTACCTTTTACCCTTACCCCATACAAATGACCCGATTACAGGGTAATTGCTGGGGTACTACTACACATGGACAAGGTTTATAACGGTAAATGCCAGGTAGAGCGCTTTAATCATATAGCATACTCTCGATGATTCCAATTTTACACGCTTTCTTTTAACTCACTCGGTATGTTGTTGTCGTTATTGTTTTTGTATCCTCAAATCTTGAAACTCAATTTTTACCCACTTCCTAATGTGGTATCGACTGCAAACTTGGTATACTTAGGTCATACTGATGACAATACTATATTCTATCATAAAAAATGTTTTTAAACATTCTTTTATATGTTATGTTTCGGCTTGGGTCTAATTGTCCACGCTCAACTCACGTTGGCTGTAATTGGCCACGGTCCCTTACATTGTGGCAAGCTTCGGGGCCACTTCCTGAAGTCGTGGAGTTCTGCCATTACTAGTACATTTAATAAAAGCGTGTTTTAAATAAAGTTTGTTTTAATATTACTTATTAAATGTAGACCACGGACTGCGCCACGGAGCTTTTAGCGGTAAACAAGGCACCGTGTTTACCGGGTAATACTTTGCGCTACCTTTACCCGACCCTTTACCTTACCCCTTGGCATGTCGACACCCTTACTCTTTACCTTTACCCGGTAAAAAGGGTAAATTACCTTACCTTGCCGAGGCCTAGTACTAGTACTCTCATACGCAGCAGCACCCACAGCAGAACACCAGTACCCAGCATCTCAGCCAGTACCCCAGCACCCAGCACAGGAACACATGATGCCCGAGCACCCAGTCAATAGCGAATGGTACCTTCACACCATGCACCCACATCAGAACCCAACAATAGCGCTCCAGTTAGTCTGTCATCCAGCATCTTCATCGGAACCCTAGAAGCCACGACTATCACACCCAACGCTTACATTGAAACCTCACTGGCACATGACTAGCAGCCACAGCAATAACAACACGGTATACAGTACTGGATGTGGCGTGCTGTGTTCCTGGCCGCTGGTAGACTTAAATTAGTGGCTCGTGATTTAGTAACAACCACAGCCACAACGAGATGTATACGGCCTTAATGTGCCTGGGGTAGCAACATCTTTCGCACCTGATGACACAAATGAGCCAACACGCTCCACCACAAAACCCCCCGGGCTCCAACCTCACCCTAGAGCGGCGAGGCCACGGGGCCCCGGACCAGGCCCTCAGCTCTCGTAAGTACAAAGTGGGGGGCCCGAGGCCTCTATTCATGAGGGTCACAGGGGGGTCCCGGGGTGAGGGGGGGTCCTGGTTCAAACCCCTCTCCCACTCCAGAGCAGCAGCAGCACCGAGATTCTTGGGTTGCAGTCGAGGGCCCCCACACCGCCGGCCGCCCGGGCAGACCCAACCACTCGAGCCCACGGGTCGATCTCCACTTACTACAATATACACGCCCCCCCCCCCGCCCCCCTTTCCACACGGTCTAACCACATGGATATGGCCCATAGCCCACACGGAACCCGAGGCCAACCGCGTACCGAAGGGCCCAAACACCGGCCTGGCAACCCCAGCCCTGCACAGGCGGCCTAAGCACATTCACACGGCCCACGTGGAAGACGGGGCTCAATCCCGAGCCGACCCGGGCCCCACTCCCCGACCCGGGCCCCACTCCCCGACCCGGGCCCCACTCCCCGACCCGGGCCCACGCGGCCCACGCAGCACGGACCCAACACCAAGCCTGGCGCACATCGGGGGGAGCCCCGGGGCCGCCAAAACCACCAAACCCCGGGCACCCCACACGAGGGGGCCCGGGGCCCTGACCGCCGCGCATCGCCCCCTGCCACCCTCCCCCGACCCACCAGGGACCCTTCGCCGCGACTCGCTCGGGCCCCGTCCGCGCCCCTCGGGCCCCGGCGCGCGCTGGGGAAGCCCCTGGGAGGAGGCGGCGGTGCTGGTGGAGGTGGTGGTGGAGGAGGTGTCGCTGCTGCCTCCTTCACGATGTGGGCCCGGCTGTGACAAGCCACTAGGGGGGGCTATAAAGCTTCCTCACCCCTCCACACTCCTCACCCCTCCTCACCCCTCACCCCTCCTCACCCCTCACCCTACTCACCCCTCCACACCCCTCCTCACCCTCCTCACCCCTCACCCTCCTCACCCCTCACCCTCCTCACCCTCCTCACCCTCCACACCCCTCACCCTCCACTCCCTCCTCACCCCTCACCCTCCTCACCCTCCTCACCCCTCACCCTCCTCACCCTCCTCACCCCTCACCCTCCTCACCCCTCACCCTCCTCACCCCTCACCCTCCTCACCCCTCACCCTCCACTCCCTCCTCACCCCTCACCCTCCACATCCTCCTCACCTCTCCTCACCCCTCACCCTCCTCACCCCTCACCCTCCTCACCCTCCTCACCCCTCACCCTCCTCACCTCTCCTCACCCTCCTCACCCCTCATCCTCCTCACCCCTCACCCTCCTCACCCCTCACCCTCCACACCCTCCTCACCCTCCTCACCTCTCCTCACCCTCCTCACCCCTCATCCTCCTCACCCCTCACCCTCCTCACCCTCCTCACCCCTCACCCTCCACACCCTCCTCACCCTCCTCACCTCTCCTCACCCTCCTCACCCCTCATCCTCCTCACCCCTCACCCTCCTCACCCCTCACCCTCCTCACCCCTCCTCACCCCTCCTCACCCTCCTCACCCCTCACCCTCCACACCCTCCTCACCTCTCCTCACCCTCCTCACCTCTCCTCACCCCTCCTCACCCCTCCTCACCCTCCTCACCCACGGGGCTTTCTCAGTCACTTGCCATCCTGTAACTTGCCAAACGAACCCGACATTGAATTTTGGGTCAGGCCACGCGGTGGTGGCTTTCATGGCAAAGTTATTGTAATTTTCCCTCCACCACCCGACAAGATAGTTCCGTTTGCACGGATATCGTTATTATTCATATTCTAACCAAGATACCTCATCCTCATCCGTGTATTTGGGCTTTTCTTGTCGGACGTTTGAGGGTTTTATATCACAACAAGAAGCGAGAATAGACCGGCGTGGCCGAATTTCGTTTGGGGTGGGCCCACAACGAGTCGGTAGATGTCGCTAGATCTCCTCTCAAAGTCGTACAAAATATCTCACCAGCAGACAATGTCACCAAGATAGAGGGGTTCTTTTTTGTGTTAGATCGCGTAAATATATAAATGTGTCGTTAAAACCCGCCACCACCCGGCACAGCCAACTAGTAAGTGTTGCCACGTAAACAGAACGTGCCAATTCGTCACTAGTACAGCACACCGGTGGGTTTTAACGACACATTTATATATTTACGCGATCTGAGCCCCAAAAAAACCCCTCTATTATGGATTATATTGGTCGCGAAATCCGACGTGTTGAAATGCAACCAAGCACAAGCTCTTAGCACGCGACTACTGTGACTCATGGTCTAATGTTTGGGTTTGGTCAGGAAATGAAATGGCATTTTTTTTTCGTTGTGAGACCCCCCCACCACCCAACACGGCCAAACAAATTAAAATGTCACTCGTGACGACCGCCGATTCTATTCTCGTTTCATCTCGCTCATCGGGCTGAATCTGAAAGATGATCTCCAATACGACACAAGAATGGTTCACGGACGTCGCCCGGCGCCTGTGTTGACGTGGACAGTTCTGCACCCCTCGCCCCGCAGGAACAGCGTGGTGACGTTTGGTCAAATTACCGACACTGCCCACACGGTAGGGGAGGCTGCCCTCATCCAGCAGTGGATTGGATTGGCATCGGGGGAATGCAATTATGAGTCTCGCACGCCTCGGCTGACTGGAGGATCAGGGCAATGGCAATCCATGTGTTCCACGACGTCGAGAGCAGGGGTAGTAGGCAGCCAAAACAGCAAGACACGTTTTTTTTTCGAATTTCAAGAGCCGCACTGCACGTGAATACGAGGCGGTCCTTAACGATGCGGAAAATTGCCGACCCCTGCTCATGCTAAACTGGCTCCCACGGTAAACTGGACTCCCATGGTGAACTGGACTCCCATGGTGAACTGGACTCCCATGGTGAACTCGACTCCCATGGTAAACTGTACTTCCACGATCAGGGGTCGGCAACCAAAATAGCAAGAGCCATTCTTTTTCGAATTTCAAGAACCGCAATGCGTGTGGTGAATACGAGGCGGTCCTTAAAGAGCCGCATGCTCATGCTAAACTGTACTCCCATGGTAAACTGGACTCCCATGCTAAACTGGACTCCCATGGTGAACTGGACTCCCATGCTAAACTGGACTCCCATGGTGAACTGGACTCCCATGGTGAACTGGACTCCCATGCTAAACTGGACTTCCATGGTAAACTAGACTCCCATGGTAAACTGTACTTCCACGAGCAGGGGTCGGCAACCAAAATAGCAAGAGCCATTCTTTTTCGAATTTCAAGAACCGCAATGCGTGTGGTGAATACGAGGCGGTCCTTAAAGAGCCGCATGCTCATGCTAAACTGTACTCCCATGGTAAACTGGACTCCCATGCTAAACTGGACTCCCATGGTGAACTGGACTCCCATGCTAAACTGGACTCCCATGGTGAACTGGACTCCCATGGTGAACTGGACTCCCATGCTAAACTGGACTTCCATGGTAAACTGGACTCCCATGTTAAACTGTACTTCCACGATCAGGGGTCGGCAACCAAAATAGCAAGAGCCATTTTTTTTCGAATTTCAAGAACCGCAATGCGTGTGGTGAATACGAGGCGGTCCTTAAAGAGCCGCATGCTCATGCTAAACTGTACTCCCATGGTAAACTGGACTCCCATGCTAAACTGGACTCCCATGGTGAACTGGACTCCCATGGTGAACTGGACTCCCATGCTAAACTGGACTTCCATGGTAAACTGGACTCCCATGGTAAACTGGACTCCCATGGTGAACTGGACTCCCATGGTAAACTGGACTCCCATGGTAAACTGGACTCCCATGGTAAACTGGACTTCCACGGTCAGGGGTAGGCAACCAAAACAACAAGAGCCATTTTTTTCGAATTTCAAGAGCCGCACTGCAGTCCTTAACGAGCCCGACCCCTGTTCTAGAGAACGTGTGGAGGCGAGTGTCTCTCTGATCTCAACACAGACAACGGGCACCTCGTGGTGCCCCAGTCTCCACCCACGAGGACATCACACGTCTCGTTTATCTGCCTCTCATGCAGGAAGCCAGAAAGCTCCCCTCCGTCAACTAGGGCCACATGCGGCGGGAACGTTTGTGACCGATAGGGGCCGTCCATAAATGACGTCACGCACCTTGGGGGGTGGGTCAGACATTCGTGACGATGTGTGACGAGGGAGGGGGGGGGGGTTTGAGAAATGTGACGTCACATTAAAAATGCGAAACTTTAAATAAATATAGAATTTTTGATTTAAAGCTTTCGTGACTGCAGGGATTCATATTCTTGGTTCTTTCGGTAAAGTCACGTAGAAGGGAAATAATAAAATCATATAAATATAAAACAATAAAAATTCTCACGACTTTTCAACTGCAACACAAGCAATCATCTTCAGGTGTGAATTTCACACCTGATGATGATTGCTTCGTGAGAATTGTTATTGTTTTATTATTTCCCTTCTATGTGACTTTACCGAAAGAACCAAGAAAATAAATATTGAATTGTTATAACACTAATTGTTATAACACCCCTACAACATCACAGTGCAATGCCACATTAAATACGCACGACAATGACAATAGTTTGAAGCGAATTGAAGCATGTTTTATTTTCAAAATAGAAATATGGTTTGGGGGGGGGGCAGAGCTTTGTGACGTCATATTTGAGGGGGGGAGGGGTCTTACTTTTTGTGACGCCGTGTGACAAGGGGGGGGGGGGGGTCAAAAATCGTCCAAAATCGCGTGACGTCATTTATGGACGGCCCCGAGAGCCACGGGGCGAGAGGCGGGGACCTGGCGGAGTAACGGCGCCGTGACACGCACACGCAGGCACCGCCTCGCCTCCCTCGGCCCAGCCTTGGCGCACGGGACTGGCTGGCGTGGCATGCTGGAGAGCGCCCATGAAGACGAGACGCCAAATGTTTAAACCGATCCATGGGATGTGTAAAAAATAAGAATGCACTCGTATTTGTAATGTGGAGAGAAAGACATGGGAAGGATGCGAATGGTCTGCTTATTTATTTTGCCACATTCCCCACGACGCCAGTAATGTGTCTGTGTTATGTACTGGTGAGTTTTGTATTGAACTATGACCCGTACACGTTGATTCAAGCAAGCCTGACCGTGCTGATGAGACGATTAATGTCAAAACCGGTCCAGTTATCTTGTTGAACCGTTACGTCGAGGGACAGACATGGGACAGGGACACTGCTTATGCATCTTCCTATGGAGGCAAACGTGTCTCGAATGTTGGTTCTGGTACTGGATTCTCGCCTGGTCACCTCATTGCTCACGTACTCTACCCAGGTTCTAATTTCAGGCCGAGTAAACCTAGGTGAATTCCACGGTCATATATTCTCATCCATCGACGTGCACGGTCGGGAATGGTCATGGCGCTGTGATGGTCAAGGCGCAGTGCGGGGATGACAACCACTACCCCAACCCATCGTCACGGGACACCGAGGCCACGCGATTTGTGCAGAACGAATCTATTTACAGTAGTGTACAGTGGCATGTACAGTGTTTGAAATTCAGCCACCGGGCACGGGCACTGACACAAGTGGGGTCAGCGGTCCACATTGGCCCGGCCTTCACAGGGTGTGCCAGCCTCCACGTGGAGGCCCATCAACCAGGGAGAACTTTCACACGGAGGTACCGTCAACGAGAACGTCCACTCGAGGGCTCATCACCACGGAGAGACCCATCAAACGTGAAGAGCTTTCAAATGGAGACCCATAGACATTCTTGTGAGGTTCCATCAACCAAAAGAGCTTCACACATCGAGACCCATGATCATCCGTGAGGTATCTTCATATTCTTGGTTCTTTCGGTAAAGTCACGTAGAAGGGAAATAATAAAAATAAAACAATAAAATTCTCACGACGTTTCGATTGCAACACAAGCAATCATCATCAGGCGTGAAACCCACAGCAAACATTTGCTTGCTGTGGGTTTCACACCTGATGATGATTGCTTGTGTCCACGCAAATGTTTGCTGTGGTTTTCACACCTGATGATGATTACTTGTGTTGCAATCGAAACGTCGTGAGAATTGAATTGGTTTATTTTAATGATTTTATTATTTCCCTCCTACGTAACTTTAAAAAAAAGAACCAAGAATGTGAATCCCTGCAGTCACGAAAGACTTAAATCGAAATGAAATCCATGTGAGGGTTTCTCAACCAGGGAGAGCTTTCACATGGAGACCCATGAACATGTGTGGGGGTTGATTAACCAGGGAGAGCTTTCACATGGAGACCCATGAACATGTGTGGGGGTTGATTAACCAGGGACAGCTTTCACATGGAGACCCATGAACATCCGTGAGGGTTCATCAACCAAGGAGAGCTTTCACATGGGGACCCATGAACATCCATGAGGGTTTCTCAACCAGGGAGAGCTTTCACATGAAGACCCATGAACATCCGTGAGGGTTCATTAACCAGGGAGAGCTTTCACATGAAGACCCATGAACATGTGTGAGGGTTCATCAACCAGGGAGAGCTTTCACATGGAGACCCATGAACATCCGTGGGGGTTCATCAACCAGGGAGAGCTTTCACATGGAGACCCATGAACATCCGTGAGGGTTCATTAACCAGGGAGAGCTTTCACATGGAGACCCATGAACATGTGTGAGGGTTCATCAACAAGGGAGAGCTTTCACATGGAGACCCATGAACATGTGTGAGGGTTCATTAACCAGGGAGAGCTTTCACATGAAGACCCATGAACATGTGTGAGGGTTCATCAACCAGGGAGAGCTTTCACATGGAGACCCATGAACATCTGTGGAGGTTCACCAACCAGGGAGAGCTTTCACATGAAGACCCATGAACATCCGTGAGGCTTCATCAACCAGGAAGAGCTCTCACATGGAGACCCATTCAACAAGGAAGATCTCCACGTCGAGACCCATCAAGCATGGAGAACTTATTACCCAACGGAGGACCTTACCATGCAGGTCCATTAATATAAACATTCATGTGAAAACCCCTCAGCACACGCCAACAAAAGCCTCTGTGGCAAAGGTACATAAATACAGCAGAGCCTCCCCTGGAGAAAACTGGCAAGGCAGCAGTGAGAGCCCTCCCCCGAAGTGGAGACTCGACAAGTCAGCAAGGATCCACGCATCAACAAGGCAGCTACGGACCACACGTACATGTTCCTTAAGGCAGTGAGACCACGTGTAGAGGTACATTGACAAGGCAGCGGGAGCCCAGTAAAGTGCGGCTCCTGCGGAGGAGGTCTGGCCTGCGGGGCCTCAAGGCGAGACCTCCTCACGCAAGCTCTGCGGGCTCCCTTTTCTCAATGTCGGAAGCTACAGTAAATAATTGCATAAAAACGCTTATAAAATAGTGGAGTTTTCAGTGTATGTTACAAACAAGGCCACAGCGTGTCTCCAGTGCTGCTGCTCAGCACCCGCAAACGCAAAGTCTTGCATTACATTTCAAAAAATAGGAAATATATTATTCTTTGGTGCATTAATAATAATAAAACACAATGTACATATATACAGTGAAATGGCATGGACAGAAGGTGTGGTTGGGGCAGCCGCCCAACTCTCGTGGAGCGCCCCGGGCTGCGGTGTTGCTCCGCTCGGCTCCACCCTCTTCAGCGCGCGAGGAGGCCACAGTCCACGGTCAATGGAGGTCGGGGCGGCGAGTTGGGCGAGCGAGTGGGCAAGGAGGCAGGGGGCTCAGTTGCCATTGGCGGCGGGCTTGTGTTCCGTCACGCGAGCCACGTGCAGCTCCGTCAGCGACTCGCTGCTCATCGTCGGTCCGATCACGGCCATCTGCCCAGGATGACAGACGCACGCACGCATGCGCACCCCAGGAGTTAGCCGCTCCTGCAATCGACTCCGGACGCCGCACCTCATAGCCAGTTACTTTTATTTTGTCGCTGCAAACGGCACAAGCCCAGAAATGAAGTGGCCGGGACAACACACACCACTGTTAAATTAGCAAGAGATAACTGTCAACTCGTTCCTTGACTTGAGCAAGGTTATTATTATTAGAATAGCTTGGAAAAAGAGATGATGGCGATGGGATGAGGGAGGGCATTCCAAAGTGGAACAGTGCGTGGAAAGGAGAGAGAGAGAAATTAGGTGATCAGCAGTGTCGTCTGTTGAACACAGTGTGGGGATTGCTCTGTAGAGTTTGAACGTAGCGCCTCCACGATGGCCTTCGCGTGGTAAGAGCAACACAAACACTGCACGTCCACGTGAGCATGCAGCGGTGTCTGACATGCAAACGTTCGGCCACTTCTGTTAATCCACCACAGGATGAGCGAGCACCTCCCCATGCCGTTGTGGGTCACGGGGGTTTCAAGCGACCGTGCTCATCAGTGGGGGTTGGCGAAGGTGGTGAGAATAGATGCAGGAGCATAGAAGTACAGTACAGCACTGGAATGCAGTCCCAACCTGCTGCAGCTGCATAGGGATGTGCACAGGGCCGCTCGGACCGGCGAACATCAGCTGCTGGAGGCCACCTGCACACACACCCACACGCATACAAGTCTCTCGCACACACACACCAAAGACAAAGATCTCCCCTACAGCCTTAGCATACTTTTAGGAAGTGCTGTAAGTAATCACCTCTAAAGGCCATCACAGCACACAAGGGGGTGGGTGGCCAGCACCACGCAAAGATCGGGTACTTATTCGAGGCAGAACCTAGGGGAGGCCAAGGACCAGTTAAATAATTGTCACTGATGTTGGCCGTGACTGGGACTCGAACTCTACGAACTTGGGTCACCGAGTTCGTAAAGTAGCGCACAAACCGCGACACTACCACTCCCCACACTCCCTGCACATACACGCGTTTCAGACACACCGTGGGCAACATGCCACTCAGTGTCCTCATCAGGGCTTCATTTCTCATTGAATATGAATGAGAAACTTATTTTGCACCGTACGTAGCCAACCGTGCTAATCGGAGGCATGGAACAAGTCCCAGGTTGCTGGTGGACTGGAGTACGTGGCACATGACGAGCAGTAGCGCCAGTCATCGCGACAGGAATACTGGATGTGGTGTGCCAGGTTAAGATCTACTTTTTCGCTCACCAGCCCGGATAAGAGGCCTATGAAATCAAGCCCCGGCCCTCACTCAAATTGTCCTGCAGCGACACAACTCTGAACGCGCGGTCGGTCCTCTAAACCCAGCCGGAACCACGATCCAACGGAAGTCGTCCGCAATCGATCGGTCGTCGCTTCCTCTCGGCCCACGCGTGGGGACCCACCCTGCTCGGCCGTGGGCCCAGGGCCGTGGTGGAGCTGCATGGAGGCCGGGCCCCCGTGGAAGGCGTTGAGGTGCACGGCGAGGCCCCCGCTGAGGCTGGTGCCGTCGCCGCCCAGCGAGGGGGAGCTCGCGTACATGATGCCATGCGGCGCCTGGTACATGACGTGCCCCGCCACCGACACCGGCATGCTGGATGACACCAGCGTGGCCGGGATGGGCACTGCACCCGCACGGGAAGAGGCACGTGAAGCGCGCCAAGAACAACAACAACCGCCAAGGACAACAACCGCCAACACCGCCACCAGCGTCACCCCACTCACGACCACAGTCGATCGACGCTGACTTTTCCACAGCCGGAAGGCCTCGCTTCGCAAATTGCCTAAGTTAACGCCGACTGCCCATTGACGAAGAGCGGTCGTGGCGCAGCCGAGTGGGCGGTCGAGGTCATTTGCAAACGTCCAATGGCCCTTGGCCGTGGAAGCGGTTCGATTGGGGGGGGGGGGGGCGGGCGGGCGACCTAATGCCGCCTAGAGGCGACCTCCCCGGCCACGAGCGGTGACCTCCGGGGAGAACGGCCGCTGCCCCACAGCCCCCCACCACCCACCCCCCGTACCTGCCACGTTGCTGCCCAGCGATTGGCAGCCGCTGCCCTCCGACGCCGCCACCGGCTGCGCTCCCTGGGGCAACGCCACGTGGCCGTGGGCAGTGGAGGGCAGCAGCTGCGAGACGGCGACCCCACCTGGGCAGGCACGGCACGCACGGCATCACCGCGGCGCGGGCTACCCGTGGGCCCAAGTGTGGAGAGACCGGGAGGTCGTTTGCTCACACCCACTGACCTTGCTCACTCCCATTCACTCATTCACGACCTTCCACTGATGCCAGCACCGCGCTCTTCCTCAAAGAGCAGTGGGCACCGTTTTCTTGGAGTATCGGCAGAGTGAATCTTCCCATCGCGGCAGACCCTGCACCCCGCCTAGTTTTCCTACCGAGTCGACTGCACTTGACTGAGCTGAAGGGACAAAGATCTCCCGTTTTGCCTTAACACTGTTGGGGCAAGAGCTGTTAGCGAGCATCGCCTATAAAGGCAAGGGCGGTGCACGATAGGGTGGGTGGCCATCACCACGCCTGGACGCCATTGTCTCCCCAATGCTGATGTTCACACACTGCACCAGCTACTCATTTAAGGCCGAGTCAACCTAGGGGACGCCCAGAACCGGTTAAAACATTCGCCACTATGCGTTGCCAACGTCCTGCAGGGCCATCCTCTACGGAACCACCCGGATGCAGGAATCGACGTCGCGGGTCGCCAAAGTCGCACTCCGCCCGCTCGCCCACCCGAACCCGTCCGCCTGCTCGTCCGCAGCCGTCCGCTCACACCACCATCTCACCTCGACCTGGGCCTAGGTGAGCACGGCACGTGCCGGGTGGGGGGTGGGGGAGGTGTGGGGTGAGGGGGGGTTTGAGTGATCCCACCTGACAGCGAGTGTCCCTGCATCTGCTGCGTCTGCGTGTGACCCGCGGGTGGAGCGCCGCCCGCATGCGAGTTTCCTGCAGCCACAGACACACGGAGACACAAGGGTGCATGGAGATACGGAGAAACACCACGGAGAGACACTGAGTTGGGGGGTGAGTTGGGGGGTGAGTTGGGGGGTGAGTTGGGGGGTGAGTTGGGGGGTGAGTTGGGGGGTGAGTTGGGGGGTGAGTTGGGGGGTGAGTTGGGGGGTGAGTTGGGGGGTGAGTTGGGGGGTGAGTTGGGGGGTGAGTTGGGGGGTGAGTTGGGGGGTGAGTTGGGGGGTGAGTTGGGGGGTGAGTTGGGGGTGAGTTGGGGGGTGAGTTGGGGGGCGAGTTGGGGGGCGAGTTGGGGGGCGAGTTGGGGGGCGAGTTGGGGGGCGAGTTGGGGGGCGAGTTGGGGGGCGAGTTGGGGGGCGAGTTGGGGGGCGAGTTGGGGGGCGAGTTGGGGGGCGAGTTGGGGGGCGAGTTGGGGGGCGAGTTGGGGGGCGAGTTGGGGGGCGAGTTGGGGGGCGAGTTGGGGGGCGAGTTGGGGGGCGAGTTGGGGGGCGAGTTGGGGGGCGAGTTGGGGGGCGAGTTGGGGGGCGAGTTGGGGGATGAGTTGGGGGATGAGTTGGGGAATGAGTTGGGGGATGAGTTGGGGGATGAGTTGGGGGATGAGTTGGGGGATGAGTTGGGGGATGAGTTGGGGGCCGAGTTGGGGGCCGAGTTGGGGGATGAGTTGGGGGATGAGTTGGGGGATGAGTTGGGGGATGAGTTGGGGGATGAGTTGGGGGATGAGTTGGGGGATGAGTTGGGAAATGAGTTGGGGGATGAGTTGGGGGATGAGTTGGGGGATGAGTTGGGGGATGAGTTGGGGGATGAGTTGGGGGATGAGTTGGGGGATGAGTTGGGGGATGAGTTGGGGGATGAGTTGGGGGATGAGTTGGGGGCTGCGTTGTTGTCAGCGCTGGGTGGCAGGGTGGGTGGAGAGCGACCCCCTCACCTGACATGAGGGTGAACGAGGATGCGTTGCCGTGCGTTTGCATGTGGCCCCCCTGGACCGTCTTGCAGGAATGTCCGCCGCCCACCATGTGGCCGCCCGCCATGCTGGTTGGGGGTCCCGAGGAGGAGGAGGGTGGGGAGTAGCTGGGGCTGGAGAAGTGGTGCGGCCCGGGCGAGGAACCCGGGAAGTTGGTGATGGTGAAGAGCGTGGGCTTCAGAGACTCCTGCAGCGGCACCACGGACGCACACGTCAGGCCCACGCTCTCTGCCACTCCCTCCGGAGCTCTCTCCCCGCTGAACCAGACAGGCTCCACACCTCGAGTGCAACCCTGGAGCACGACCTCGCTTAAAGGTCACGGCCACGGGGTTGGGGGCGTGACCCAGTGTGTGGAGGTTCGCGGTTCAGCTCCGGCATGCGGCCCTGGTTAATACTGCGGTGTGCGTTAACCTTTAAATTACCACGAGCCGTCCACTTCACAGCCGACGTCAAAGACCCCGTGGTGTCGTTAGAAATAAGGTCGCTGGCTGCCGTCGGCATCACGATCCAAATTTGCCAAATTCGAAAAATCCGACCGCGATTACTCAATTTGGATTACACGGCAGACACATCGCTCGCCACTGCCAAGTCACTGCAGCCTGTCCCTGCAAAACACAGCGGCACCTTCCTCCCTTCGTGACCATTGCCCAGCGCTCAAGGATTGACAGCACCAATACCACACATGCTCAACTGTTAAATAGCATTATTCAAGTGTACGTGTAGTGGTGGTATTGACGTGCGCCGGCAGTGATGGATCACGGGGCGCGGGGTTGGGCACGCGATGTGGGCGTGGCATGGACGCGCGCGCCGGTGGTGAGGCGCGCTCACACAAGCTGGGAAAAGAGGATCGTAGCGAGTGCGCAGTGATTGGTCAGATAAGTGGGTGCTCTCAGCGACGTCCGCAGGAGGGGTATAAAGGGGGACGCGCGAGAGCACTCGGGGTCAGTGTTAACCAGTTGAAGACCGAAGACGGGGTGGAGGAGGTAGTGGCCCGAGACCCCTAGTCCCGCCGTCCTTGTGGGGACCGGGGCCCTGTGTGGCTCGGAGCCGAGACTGGGGGGACCGTAGTCCGACGCCCGTGTGGGTCGGGACGGTGGTACCCAGAGCCGAGACGGGCACCCCGGCTGGGTGTGTCCCGGAAGGCTACGGGGCGTAAGAGCCCGTGTCAGTACAGCTGAGTGGGTGTTGGTCACCCATGTAGCTGAGTGGGTGTTAGTCACCCGTGTAGCTGAGTGGGTGTTGGTCACCCGTGTAGCTGAGTGGGTGTTGGTCACCCGTGTAGCTGAGTGGGTGTTAGTCACCCGTGTAGCTGAGTGGGTGTCCGTCACCCGTGTAGCTAAGTGGGTGTTGGTCACCCGTGTAACGAAGTAGGGTGTTAGTCATCCGTGTAACTACAAGTTGGTGAAAATAAAGAGTGTGCTACCCGTGAAGTCGTCTCCTGCCGAGTTACTACTTTACAACTGGCGTCAGAAGTAAACCTGTCTTCAAGGAGAATGGACACAAGGAAGACTTCTCGTTCCCACGTGCAAGACCGGGGAGACGACGACGTACCGGTGACACCACCCTCGGGAGGAGAGGACGAGGAGTTGCCGCCGATGCAGCACTTCGCGGAAATGGCCGATGCTCCGCCCGCCTCCGACACCAGCCTGCAGGACGCACACTCCCGCCTGGCGGAGTTGCTGCTCGCCGCCGCTGCGATCTTGGCGGAGATCTCCGTTCCAGCGGCCGGTGGAACGCCTGCGGGGTTGGAAGAGGCGGCGCGGCTGGAGGGTTCCCGCCATAAGGCGTTTCGCGCCAAAAGTTTTGGAGTTGGCGCCATTTTTGAGGGTCCGCCTCCGGTTGGCGGGAAACGCGGACACCACGTGGCCAGAGGTCTCCACACAGCGCAGCCCGCGTCATCGGCGAGCGCCGGAGCTCTCCATTTTGCGCCTGCAGAGGGAGCCGACATTTTCTACAACCACAGCGGCGCGCGGGAAAATCGTTCCAACGACGACGACGACGCGCTTGCGGCCTTCACGTCTGCCCCGAGGTCGTCCCGCTCAACGCTCCAGGCCGCGCTGCACCTGTTGGCCAAGGTGTTCGGGCCACCCTCGACCTGTCGCCACCAGTTCTACGATCGGCGGAAGGTGGTTGGAGAAACAACGCTCGCCTATCGCACGGCGCTGCTCGCCCTGGCGGATTCAGCTTTTCCCCGCATGGACAAGGAGGGGAAGGACGCCATGGTGACGGAGCAGCTGCTGGCGCTGGCTCACGGATTGGGAGTTCCCATTAATACGGCGGACGAGATGGACATCTGCTCCCTGGGGATTGCCACGAGTATCCACGCTTACGAGGTCCTACAGCGGAAGCCGACGGTCGTCTGCGCATCGGTGGAGAACGGGGCACCGGCCGCCACGATCATCGGACCTCAGCCTGCTGTGCCTCGGGAGGAGGCCTTCGCTGGTTCGAGGCCGGGGGAGTGGAGAACGGGAGGTCGTTCGCCCACACGCTCCTCCCGCAAGCTGGAGCAACCGAAACCTACGACGTCCGTCGTCGTCTGCTACAACTGCGGCCTTCGGGGCCACGTCGCGTCCGGGTGCCGGGCCCCGCGTCAACGCACCGCGGGACCACGTCCGGACGACGACCAGGGACTCAAGACATCCCAACTGAACCCGGCAAGTCGCGGCACCTCACACGTTCGGTCCACACGCACGGCACGTTCGGGTCGCCGCTTAGCGGTGGGGGGACCGTGTATGGGCGCCGGGGGTTCGGTTCGGCGAGAGGGGTCCGCGTACGGCCCGAAGGCAGTCGAGTGGTCCGAATTGGCCCACAGGATTGTGGCTGCGTCGGCCGGGTCGTCCGTGGTAACGGGGTACATTGACGGGGTTGAGGTCCGGGTGCTCGTGGACACGGGTGCGTCGGCCACTATTATTTCGGACCTTATTTATAATATTCTTCCCGTACAATGTCGACCACTTCTGCCGGTGGACGTACCATTTTACGCGGCAAACGGGGGATCTTTGGGAATCATCGGCCAGATTCGGGCGAATATTTGTATTGGCGACATTAAATTGGCGGGTCCTATTTTTGTATCATCATCGTTGGCCGTTCCTTGTTTACTAGGCACGGACTTTCTGTCTAAAATGCCCATAAAAATTCTCATAGACCAGGCCTGCATTGAGCTTCCGTCGGGTCGGCGGGTTGAGTTTTTGAAGAGTCCAAATAAGATACGCACGGCTTGTGCGACGGTGCAGGCGCTGGCAACCCGGACTGTACGGGTGCCCCCGGGATCGCAAATGTTGGTACCCCTTCGGTTGAGAAAACCCCTTGGGGCGGATGCGGGGGCGCAGGGAGTTCTATTGGGGCTGTCTAACAGGGCTAAAGGGGACCTCGACTTAGCGGTGGCCCAGACCATGGTGAGGGGGGACAGTGAGCCGTTCGTTGTGGTCCTGAATACGGGGTCGCGGCCGGCCGTGATTACGCAGGGAACGGTGCTCGCTCACGCCGCGCCGCTACCCGTCGAGGAACAGCTCGTTGCTCACGCCGATTCACATGTCGATACGCATCCCCAAAGTGAGGAGGGGACGGAGTGGTTGGACTCGTTGTGTGCAGGGTCCAGTACCTTGTCCAGTGTGCAGTTGGGTGCATTGAGGGGCTTGCTGCTCGAGTTCGCTGACGTGTTTAGCAGGCACAAGTACGACATTGGCTGCACAGACCTGTTGCGCCACCACATAGAGACTGGGGACGCGGCCCCTATTCGACAGAATCCCTTCCGGCTCAGTCCAGCCGAGAAGGAGCATGTGCAGTCGGCAGTAAATGACATGTTGGCGGCCGACATCATTGCGCCCTCTTCCAGTCCGTGGGGTGCTCCTATCGTCTTGGTTAAAAAACAGGATGGATCCCTGCGGTTCTGTGTTGATTTCCGCCGCCTAAACAAAATATCAATGGCCGATGCGTATCCGCTCCCCAGGATGGATGAGTCGCTGGATGCCTTGGCAGGAGCACAGTTTTTTTCGACGCTCGATTTGCTTTCGGGATTTTGGCAATTGCCCCTCGATGACGAATCAAAACCTAAAACCGCTTTCCGGACACCGGGAGGCCTATTTGAGTTCAACCGATTGCCCATGGGTTTACATTCCGCTCCTGCCACGTTCCAGAGGCTCATGGAATTGGTTTTGTCAGGCCTTCAATGGGACACCTGTTTGATTTACCTCGATGATATCATCGTTTTCAGCCGAACTTTTGAGGAGCACCTCCAGCGACTGAGGGCAGTGTTTCTCAGGATGCGTTCCGCGAAGCTTAAATTTAAACCGGCTAAATGTTTTCTGCTTCGGGAATCGGTCAGGTATTTGGGCCATATCGTTAGCCGTTCGGGGATCTCGACGGACCCTGCTAAGACGCAATGCGTCGGCTCATGGCCAACACCGACCTCTGTTACTGAAGTCCGCAGCTTCATAGGATTTGCCTCCTATTACCGTCGTTTTGTCAAACAGTTTGCCACCATAGCCAGGCCCCTGCACGCCTTGACGGCTAAAGGGGTGCGGTTTCACTGGGGGCCGGAGGAGGAGGCCGCGTTCTGCTCCCTTCGTGACGCCTTGGTGCAGGCTCCCCCCTTGTGTTACCCCGATTTCACGCAACCGTTTGTGCTCGACACGGATGCCAGTAACACGGGTATCGGGGGAGTGCTCTCACAGGTGGTCGGGGGGGTCGAACGGGTGGTCGCCTACGGTAGCAGGGTTCTGTCCCCCGCGGAACAACGCTACTGCGTGACACGGCGTGAATTGCTGGCGATTGTGTTTTTTATACAGCAATTCAGGCCGTATCTGTATGGCCGTCACTTTACGGTTCGCACGGACCATGCGGCTCTCCAATACGCTATGCGGGTGGCGCAGCCATCCGGCCAATTGTCCCGATGGTTGGAGGTCCTTCAGGACTACCAATTCACGACGATTTACCGCAAGGGGTTGCGCCACTCGAATGCGGATGCATTGTCACGGTTGCCGACGCGTACGGAATGCGCATGTCAGTTGGGATCGGCGCGGTGTAAACCTTCTGTCGATGTCCCCGCGGAAGTGGTGCTAGCCGCCACGGATACTACGGGGGTCGACGCCCCCACGGGGAGGGACTCGCTGTTAGCATTGCCTCTCATCGAGTGGGGCCGTCTGCAAATGGCCGACAGCTCCCTACTCGCGCTACGTCGGAAGGTTA